AAAAAAAAAAGAAAAAGAAAGAGGGCAGCTCCATTGAAGCGCATCTTTACCACAGCCAGACCGTTAACGGCATTTTTCTAGAAGATACATACAGACCCCTTCCCATCGCGCCCAAGACACCCGCCCTCGCTCCATTCACCACGGATGTCTCCTCCCTTCCCAAGTCCAAAACGTCGCCGCCCCCTCCTCCTCTCTCTTCCCATCCTCCCTCGCACTCCTCTCACCCCCCTCATCATACCCACCCCAGCCCTTCTCCGCAATAACCCTCAGCATACACCCGACACTCTCCCGCGGAGAGATGATCCCCTCGACCTCCCACGCCAGGCCGACATCGGCCGCCATCTCCGTGCTCACCTCCCCGGGGTGCAGCGCCAGCACGACGGTGCGGCTTCCCCGCGGGCCGGGGCTGCCCGTGATCAGGTTGCTGATGCTGAGCGGCGACGCGGACTTCGCCCGGACGGAGTCGGTCGACTTCTTGTGCAGCTCGGCCGCGAGGTGGCGCAGGCCCTGGTTGAGGGCCGCCTTCGAGGCCGAGTAGACGCCGAAGCCGTCCTCGAAGGCGCGGAAGCGCGCCGCGGAGCCCGAGTCCGAGGAGAGGAAGACGAGCGTCTTGACGTGGATGGGGGCCGTGGGGGGGGTAGGCTGGGGAGAGGGGGCTGCCGGGCTGGGGCTGGGCGCGCGCGGTGGCCGGGGAGGCGAGCGAGAGGAGGTGGGAGGCGGTGACGAGGGGCCCGATCGTGTTGGTGTGGACGTGGTGGGCGAAGGAGGAGAAGGAGCTGTAGAGCGCGAAACGCGTGTTGACTGTTTAGCGAGCTGGGTGCAACTGCGGGGTCTGGCCCCAGGCGTGGCTCTCCTCTCCTCTCGCCTGTTCAGCGGGGAGACGAGAGTCGTGAGGGAGGTGAGAGGAAGCAGGGGAGAGAGACCAGCTCCTCGGCACTTACACTTCAGATACGCGCCCGGGGTATTCCAGAATCCCGGCGTTCAGCACCGCGACGTCGATGACGCCCCTGTCGAGCACCCCCCCCGGCCGTCCTAGCCTCCGCACCTGTTCCGTAAATCCCTTGATACAGTCTTCGCTGCTCACATCGCACTCCAAGATGGTCAGGTTGTGGCCATTTCGCGTGCCGGTCAGCGCCCAGAGATTGCTCGCAGTGGACGTGGTGGAGGCGGTGGGGGCCCGGGCAGTGGCTATCACGGTGTACCCTAGATCGAGGAGCTGCGTGGTGAATTCCAATCCGATTCCGCGGGTGGCACCGACGATAAGCCAGATCTGGGGTGGTGTGGCTCGGAGCGAGGCAGCAATACCGCGCGGAAAGGGTTCGAACATGGTATTGCGTGATTGCGAAATATGCGTTGAGCAAGGAGGATTTGAAAGCGAAGGCTCTTTGACTTCTTTCTATAGGAGATCCGAGAGTCTGGGCCTCCGCTATCTCGGATCTGTGATGGAACGGTGGTATGACAAGGCGCGGAACATTACTGCGTCGAATGGGAAGAGTGGGATGCTCAATCGCTGATGCAATACACCTACCGACATATCATGATGGGCTCTAGCAGTTCCTGCGGTGTAAATTGTTGCTCAGACCTTCTCTTGACATCCGGCTCAACGATTCGTACAAAGCAATCAAAAAGAGGTGGAGTCCACTTTTATTATATTCCCTCGGTTGTTTGAAACCATGTCAACAAACCCCTAATCCAATCGCTACCACACGTGACCTGTGCATTTACTGTCTTCTAATTTACCGTGCTCAGCATATATAATCCTTCAGATTGCGTCAAGCGACGATGCATTAACAGAGATAAAAAGGGTTGTAGTAGCAGTTTTTATTCCGAACTCGACGGTGGGTGCCAGGTAAAGCAAAAAGAGGCACGTGTTCGCACAAGTATTTCACTCCCAAAGTATATAAGGAAAGACGTTATGTTATCGTAGATGTACATTCGAAACAGGAGGGGCTCTGAGTTATTAATCTTAGGGAGAGAGAGACAGAGGAAATATGTGGCGAGAAAGGAAAAGAGAAGAAAAGGGGGAAGTGTGTGCCGCCGACACTGGGCTGAACAGGCTCGTTCATTTTACTAAAGAAAGAAAGCCCACTTGTTTTTAGTTAGTATCAGCAATATGTAACATTTAGTAGCCGGTTGAGGGTATATATGTACAAAGACTCGTCATTTATCATCGAAGAGTATCATCTCCAGTTATTTTACACATCTATCGTGCCCTCGGTTATGTTTGATTTTACACCACATTACCCATCCATACCACAAATATGTTTACTTAACATCCGCTCCACCGCCTTGCGAGCCCGGCCGCTGCTGACCCCACTGTCCGGGCATGAACGCCGGGTTGATGTATGCGCCACCAGCAGGAGGTTGACCCGCTGAGGGATTTTGCCAAGGCATCTGCGGGTGCTGATTCTGATACGGCTGCTGTTGCTGAAATGGAGGTTGCATTGGAAATTGTGGCCACGGCATTTGTGGATTGTAAGCGACTGGCGGCATAAAGAAATTGGGGATGGATGGCGGAGCAGGAGGTGCTTGCGAAAGGTTTATAGCTTGCGGTGCTGGCTGTTGATATTGTGGTGGTGGGTATGAAGCTGGTGGTTGGGTGTAGGTTTGTGGACGTGGTGGCAGAGTATGGCCGCTATTTTGATTCTGTCCACCGCCTCTCCTATCTTGATATCCACCTCGTCCTCGGCCACGATCTCCACGATCTCCACGACCTCTAGCACGATCACCACGTCCCCTATCACCTCCTCTGCCTCGAGCTCGGAAGTTGTCACGGGGTGGTCTTCCATATGAGCCGGGGAGGCCTTCTTGCGGAGCTTCGCCACATCCAATAGAGTTTTCGAAGCCAATTGGTCGAGCAAGAGGGCGGTAGGGGCCATCGTCTTCCGCGTCGTCATAGCTAGGACCCGTCGAAGAATCGTGGGGAGTATGCTGCTGTTGCAATGGATGACCACCTCTGCTAGGACCACCATTTGGCGCCTTTCCACCTCTTCGCTCAATTTTCTTTTGCTTGACTCTTCGCTTGTGCTCGGCTTCGGCTTCGTCGTCGGAAAACTCCATTTCTTCGTCGCCAACTTCCTCATCGTGAAGGTTCGATGCATCTGAGCCTTTGAAGGCTTTGAGAGCTTGAGTAAAGACAAACGTTGAATGTTTTTCCGAGTAAAATACTTTTGTTCCGAGTGACAGGCCTGCCTGGGCGATCTCTCCTGCGTTTGTGAACAACACCGAGTACAGCGGCTTCTGTACCGGTCCAAGGATCTCTGCCACGACTCCAATAACACTTCTGTCTTCCAAGCATAACACCGATCCACTCTCGAGACATCTGAACTCACCAGATATTTTCGCTTTAATAACCAAAGTACTCTCAACGATATGTTCCACGTTTCCAACTTCCACAATCGGCATCTCGGGCGTGATAGTAACATCAGGTTTAGGAACCACAACATCTGGGACCTCGTTCTTCGTGCGCAATTGAGTTCCAGTACCCTTGCTTTTGCTGGCCCCCTCGTCGTCCGACCCACCGTCTCCCTCCATCAATATTCTTGCCTGTTCCTCGGGACTCATAAGCTTGTAGACATTGTCACCCTCTTCGCTTTCGTCGGACGAGCTGTCGTCAGAGGACGAATCCTCTGAAGATGACTCAATCGGGGAAGAATCGATTTCCCATTCTGGGTGCTCGTCCTCGGCAGTCGCAACCCCGTCAACAGGCGGGTCTGCTTCGACGAGTGGAACTTCTGACATCAGGGTATCTTCTGCGGCTACTGGCGTGTTCTCGACATTTGGTCTGGCAATATCAGGTACAGGTTCGCTTTTCTTCTCGAGCGACTCTGGGGCGCTATCTTGCATTGGCGCATCCTTAGCAGGAGAAGGTATGTTTCCGGGTATTGAGACTGGACTATTGAGTAGGAACAGTTTTTCCTGCTCGATATGGGTACAAATACTCTCCTCAATTGGTGCGTCAGGAGCGGTAGCTGGGGGCGTAGGTGCCACATATTCAGATATTCTCTCGTCATTTGCAACAACTGGACTAGGGGCACCACTCGAAATGCCTGGCAGATGTACGCCTAAGAACAGTCCGGGAATTAGGGGTTTCGGGGGAAATGTTGAGCCCGTCTTGGTGCTCAAGGCAGGCGTAGGGACGTCGACCTGGACCTGGACCTCATGGACAGCAGGAGCCTCTGGTGCAGCCGCATCCTGCTCGATAGCAGTGGCAGCGGCAGGCGCAGTGTCCTCCAGTTCTCCCAGTCCTCCCAATAAAGCTTCCAGACCTCGAGTAAGTGGTGGTTCCTCCTCAACTGTATCCTGCATGGTCGTATCTTGGGAAAGCGCCCGCGGTTGTGAGTGCTGGAGAGGTTTTTGGGGCTCAGCAACGGACTCCGGTGTTTGTTCTAGCTCTCGCCCTATCCGACACGGTGAATTGGCTGCGTTATTGTTGTTGTGCGGGCATGAATGGGTTGGAGAAGAAAGGGAAGAAAATACGAAATAAAATTGATGATATCCAAATATTTTTATGTGGGGCATCCCGTTGGCGCGGCAGGGATCATGGTCCAGGCTTTTGTATCTTGGCGAGACCTCGTCATACCTTGCTTACCTACGTACGGAACTGCTCCGTACTCTGTCTGTACTGTACTTTATTAGTCCTTCCCTACTTGCTGGTCCAGAACATCCATATCTTTGGTCGAGTTGAGTTGCTTCCGAATACCCTCACAATGCCTCCAAAGGCCACAACAGCAACAATGGGAACCCCCAACAGTGGAAACCCAGCCAAGGCCCCAAAGAAGAAGTATATTATTTATTCTGTCTTCTATATCCTACGATCTATGCCATTTCCTGACCCTCCCTGACAGTCTGCCATAGACCTCCGACTCCATTCGCCGTGAAACCCCTTGGGGCTTTCTACGTCTTCTTCATTGCTAATATAATTGCCGCACTGTATGCGCCGATCCAAGACTGCGACGAGACGTTTAATTACTGGGAGCCTACACACTTCCTCAGCCATGGCTACGGACTGCAGACCTGGGAGTACTCGCCCGATTATGCGATTAGGAGCTGGCTGTATATTATCCTTCACGCATTGATTGGAAACATTAGGAGGCTGCTTCCATTTTCCACAAAGGTAAGGGATCCAAGGGACTCTGCAGAGCCAGGCTGACAATGCCAGATGGGCGAGTTTTACTTCATTAGATATATCCTCGCTTTCGTATGCGCCCTCTCCCAGACCATAATGTTCCGAGTTGTCAACAACACTTTGAACCCTCGAATCGCATTGTTCTTCATGATGGCCATGGTCTTTAGTCCGGGAATGTTCCATGCGTCTGCCTCCTTCCTGCCATCGAGTTTTGCCATGTACATGACAATGTTGGGCATGGCACAATTTATGAATTGGAGGGGAGGATTGAAGACCGCACAGGGAATATTCTGCTTCGCAATCGGTGGGATCCTCGGCTGGCCTTTTGCAATGGCCCTTTCCGCTCCCTTTCTGTTCGAGGAGGTCGTCTTTGCGTTCTTGAGTAGTAAGGATGCCCTCATTGATGCCGTCATGAGATTCATCAGGGGCATTGTTGCAGCACTCATCGTCTTGGTATGTCCTAATGCGCAATAAAGTTGAATCAATGCTCACAAAAACAGTTATTCGAATTCGCAATCTCTGGATTCTTCTACAAGAAACTAGTCGTGGTGCCTTTCAACATCGTCTTCTACAACATGTTTAGCGAGCCAGGGAAAGGACCTGAGATCTACGGAACCGAGCCCTGGCATTTCTACATCCGTAACCTCCTCCTCAACTTCAACATCTGGTTCATCCTCGCCTGCTTGTCCCTTCCTCTTTTTACCCTGCAAAAAATATTCTCGCGACAATCGCAAGGAAGTACCATCACCGGACTCCGAAGCGTCATCTTCATGACACCCTTCTACATGTGGCTCGCCATATTTAGCTTTCAGCCCCACAAAGAAGAGCGCTTCATGTACCCCATGTATCCAGCCCTTGCTCTAAATGGCGCCATGTCTTTGCACATTGTCCTCGCTGCATTCGGACAATCAGACCCTAAGACCCTCGTGGGGAAAATCCCCGCTAAGGTGAAACTTCTCATTGTCAGCATTTTCATTTTTGGATCTATCGATGCCGGCCTTGCTCGTATCTTTGGAATCTACACGGCCTATTCTGCACCTCTGAAAATATACGATCCATTGGAAACTATAGGCGCATACGGGGACTCTATTTGCTTTGGGAAGGAATGGTATCGCTTCCCAAGTTCTTACCACCTCCCTAAGAACATGCGCGCCAAATTTGTCAAGAGCGAATTCAGTGGTCTTTTGCCAGGCGAATTCTCTGAGGCCAAGACGGGTTTCGGTTATTGGTCAGGCGCGTATCTGATTCCTTCGGGAATGAACGACGAAAATATCGAAGACAAAGGAAAATATGTAAGAACACCCCTCCCTCTCATTCTCCGATCCTCCACGTTAACACAGCATGACCAGGTTGATATCCGGTCCTGTGAATTTCTAGTCGACACCTATTATGACAACTCAACGGCTTCAGTATACGAGCCACACTACGTGAAAGACGTTGAGAACTGGGACATCGTGAAGTGCGAGAAGTTCCTCGATGCGGGAAAGTCGCATCTCTTAAGCCGGCTGATATGGGTTCCTGATTTCTCGCTCATTCCCGAGCAGTACAGGCGCAAATGGGGAGCGCATTGTTTATTGAAAAAGAAAGCAAGTGCATAGACAAAGCGGTGCTCTATGGACAATGGTGTTTGGAACGGTGTACAAAATAAATGTCTTTAGGAAGGGGTTTGTAAATTTTACAGTACTATTTACTGGTGAAATTTTGGGAAGTGGAGCTTAGTATGGTCGTCTAAGGCACTCACCGGAATTTCTAATTTCTTCGTCTTTTGACTGAAGCTCGATCGAACTCGCCTCTTGAGGAAACTCCTGATCTGGAATGCCAGCAGGGCTCAGCGCATCACGTTCAAAGCGGGACCAGAGCGGAATTGGCTGACCAGCCCGAGACTTCCCCTTTCTAGGACATGGCAACATAAACAGCGTCAAAGTAGACTGGCTGACCATCTGGCACGGGGTGGGTGCACATTTCAACATGCATTATTGGTCCCCAATCCCCCAGTGGCAGCAGATTCCAGTGGCATAGTTAGTATGTATACTGGCACGATTCCGTTTCCCCTCAGAAATATCTTCCCGATGTGGTGTCGCTATGCTGTTGTCGTTGTCGTCGCGGTGGTCGGTAGCGAGGATCATTGGCCCGAAATGGATAAAAAGTCCCTGGGGCGCCAGGATGATAAGAGCCGTACTATCCACTCTCGACGCGGGGTCAGCCACGCCGCCAATTCGCGTGGTCTTATCGACCGGAACCTTTTTTTTTTTTTGTATCGTATATATAAACACCTATGCGGTGCATTATGCTATGGTTCATGGTGACGTTGGTCCTTGGCAGCTCTGCTCATACAAATCATCTTCTTTCTCCCACCCATTTCCCTCTTTAAATCTTATCGGTTTTGGGGTCCTAGGCTAAGCGAAGCTTCAGAATGGATAAGCGATTCGAGAAGTGTAAAGCCTGGGTTGAGGATGTTATTTTGCAAACGAAATCATACGAGTCGGTTCAGCGAGCAAGTGGGAACACGAAGGTGCTGCTGTACGGAGCCTTTCTGCTGGCTTTCACCTCATGGCTTCTTATTCGGGCAGTCCATTACCTTATAAAACCAGGCTGCAGCAGCCGTCCATCAACACCAGATCTCGAGAAGCCATCCCCGGCCAGGAAATTCAAGGCGCCCGACCGTAAATTAGGAGGTCTGTACTGCACCTGTACCACTATGGCAGCAGCATCTATCTCTTTCGCTTGACAACAGCTGACCTCCCTTTCCAGAATGGCCGCCGCAAGCATTCAAACGGCCAACTGCAGCGCCGTACCCAGGCTGGAATGTACACACCACGAAACCAAACGCCTATCGTCCTTTCAAGCACGGGCCGTACCATATCACGATGGGTTTGCGGACGATGAAGTGGGATGAGTGGATTGGTAGGTCGCTCGCGAGCGCAAAGAAGCCGCATATACGCACGCCTAGCTGGATCCCAATAGACTGACGTGAAGCCAGAACTCGACAACCATTACCTGAAATACCACGCCGACAAGGCGCGCCGCATCCTGGAGCGCGGTCCGAAAGCAAGCCACACCGATCCTTCTGCTTTTGACGGCGCGTGCGAGCTCCTCGAGGAGCTGACTGCCTACCTGCCCGAACGCTACCCGACCCTCTACCGCGCCACGCCCGTGGGCATGGACAATCTCGTCACGGGCGAGTCGTTCAACGTCGTTGAGCGGCCCTTGATCGAGGACCCGATGCAGATGGCGGCGCGCATGACGCAGGACGACCTCGCCATCATGTTTGAGAGGGCGGATGGCCAGTACTACCTCTTGGCGGGGAGTATTCTGCTCGCTGGCTTCTGGAAGCTGGAGGATAAGCTCGGCATGCCGCTGAGTGAGATCCACTATCATGGCGATGTCCCCGGGTACAGGGAGAAGCTAGAGAAGGGAATGATGAATTTCTTTCGAAGGGTGCAGCCCGATGGGCCGGTGCAGCGGGTAACGTCTCCTTTTCCCCTCCTTTCTCTCCCTCCGTCTCTCTCTCTCTCTCTCTCCTCGCTTAGCGATCTGGGAATCTCCCAACCGAGTGTATCTCTCCCTCTTTCCAATCCGAGTAAGCAAATCAATAAGCAAAAACCTTCCTGACACCTGCCCACAGAACAACTACTTCATCCAAGTCGACTCCTCCCTTCCCTGGTCGACGTCCATCGGGCCGGAGGACGGGCCCGCGGGCACCGTCGGCTGGTTCTCGGCCGAGAAGAACCGGGCGATCGGGCACCACTACTTCCGCTCGGAGCGGCAGACGCTGCGGCGGCTCCCGCGCAGCGGCGGCGTCGTCTTCACCATCCGCACCTACTTCCACCCCGTCACGGAGATCTGCGACGAGCCGTACGTGCCCGGCCGCCTGGCGAGCGCCGTGCGGAGCTGGGGCGACGACGTCGCGCGCTACAAGGGGAGAGAGACATATGGGGATGTGCTGCTGGAGTATCTGGATCGCAGGCATGCGGAGCAGGTGGCGGGGGGCCTGGAGGTCGAGAAGGAGGAGGAGGTGGTGAGGTTTCCGTTCTAGGGCTCTACGGAGAAGGGGGGTTAAGCGAGGTCGAGATGGGATGAATGTGAAGGCTTGTTAGAAAATATGATAATTTTTTTTTTTTTAGAAATACGGGTGCCATTAGACATTGAGAGAGGAATGTCGAACAGAACACTTTGATCCTTCATTCTCTCGGGGCATAGATATACCCAAAGATTGAACCATTGAGAAGAACGCTGAATGGCTAAGCGAAGATAGGAGAAGCGTATCTAGAGAGAAGGTCAAAAAACAAGAGTCACTTGTTCCTATTAACTATCTAAGAACTCCGTTCTCCGCCCGCCATTCCCAGCACAGACTGAGAATGGATGCGGGAATTTCCGAAAATAACTCCGTTCGAATGCTGCGTTTCATTTCGTCGGTAGTATGCAAGAGCCCAAAGCCTGCGGTCTATAACTTTTAGAGGCGCAGTTCCCAGTCTACCCAAAACGCCACGCCGTCTATCCAGTTAGTGTCAGTTGGTATCAAATCTATGCTTAGTCCCGATGCCCTTCAAAATTTGCGAATGCAAGGTTCCTTCCTATATCCCTCGAGCCTGGCACGCCTGGCTTTCTGTTGCTCCCTTACGACACTCCTTCGTCTCCTTTCCGTCTATCGGCACGATATCACCGGACTTCGCGGCAGCCTCGATCTCAGCCCTTCGATTTAAGAAACTCAGATATGTCTGCCACCCAATGGCAATAAATCCTGCAAATATACTCCGGTATTGCGCATCAATGAAGGTGAAGCTGAATGCGGTCACCGCAGGCCACAGTTTACAACTGTTTAAAATCGACGTCGGCACAGTCCTCTTTATGCGCTCCCAGACCTCGGGAAGGCTATCGCCGGACAGGAAAGACTGCATGCCGAAGAAATAGGTGTTGAAGAGCGGGGTGAAGCATATCTGATTGACAGCGACTTTCGTCGCTAGCGACAGAGTTTTGGAGGCATAATTAAAGTTGTTTCCAAGGAACATGAACCTGTTTTGTTGCTGTGGTGTCAGCGCTGAAATCCCAATCTCGCGTCTCTTCTGTTCCACCTGTCCAATCATAGTGGGTATCAGGGCTTGTAATACCATTTGTAGCTGGGTATAGAGCTACCCATACTAATTACGAGGGCCCGCAGAGTCCTCTTATACTCGTACTCATCCCCGATTAGGTTTTGCGCCGACAGATCCCCGAGGAAATAGATCACCAGCGAACTGAAAAACTGCGTCGCATACGGTCTCTTCCGTTGGCTCCTCCCGTATGCCTGGAACCCTCTCGACAGAGGCCCCAATCGCTGCCATAGCGGTAACGTTGCGATGGTATTTGGAACGGGGATCGAGGTGCCGTTCGCGGGGTCGTCTTGCGGCTTCGGGCGTTGCGCATTGGTGGGGTTGGAGTTGGATGAGGTGCTGTGGTGCTTTCTCTTTGGGCGTGGCTGATGCCTGGGTGCGATTTGCGGTCGTCTGAGGACAACCCGGCTGGCTATCTTCATCGCGAGTACAGCCAATGTGGTGGTGTTCTTAGCTTGGGCGCATTTTCTTGAGGAGGTTTGCGACGCTTCGGGTGGTGTTTGTTCCTTCGGCAACGCCGCGGCTGGCGGCTGGCGGCTCTTGGCGCGATTGCAAATCCACTAACGAGCCCCTTTTCTTTGTATCAACAATGTTCAGACAAGTGATGTTTCTGAGGACCGCGCGGAGGCTGAACTTGAAAGTAGCCTCTTACCAGCTGTTATAAATTTTTCATCGAGTCTTATATTGTGGCTCGATGAATTCGCCATCACCATACCATGCTTCTATTGTTTGTCAATGTTGAGCCTTTTAAGCGAAGTAAATAGGGGGCGGGGTATAAAGAAACATCTACAGCATCATCCAAATTGCTCGTGTCAATCAAGGACAGCGCGAGAAAGCTTTTTAATGCATTACAATGAAAGTACGTACGTAAGTGAATGGTATAAGGTACAACGTGACTCATCAAATCTCCTCGAACTGGTCATATCCTTCACGGCTCGATCAACGAGGTCCACGGGATTGGTCCTCATTGTGGTGAGTGTTGTGTTTGAAAACAGAGTGCCAGCAAACGAAATTAATCCGCATTCTGGGATGAAATGTAAATGTGCACACTTTAAAGAGTGACAGCTCGGTCACTCGTGGCCGCAGACCGGGGTACAACTGAACTTGTCAGTACTGTCTCCAAAGGAGAATCATCAATGGATGATATGATGAAACTAGAACTCGTGATATACCTAAAGGCGGAATGGATGCTACTTTAGTCGGAAATGAGGTGGACATAGCTGTTCAGCAACACCCTCCGCTTCAAAACGCTGTTGAAGTCCTCTCCTCGCTCTTTATTAGACGTATTATGAGCTTGGATCAGGACCAGCAACAGAAATCCTTCGAGGATCATAGTAGTTGTGTTACAAAGAAGCTGGCCAGTAGTGGACCAAAGCATAATCGTAGCGGTAAGCAATAGAGCCACGACAAATGCTACGGACGCGACAGTAGCCCATTGCGAACCGCAAGCATCGCCGACCCATATACTGACTCGGGTGGAGGAGGACCTATGGATATCTGCTAAAACTGGAACGGGGACGTTCAGACGCTCGAGAAGTCTGCTGTCTGCGAGTTGGACCTTTCGGAATTGAGTCTTGGCTTGGGCTTCTTCGCGCATGTAAAGGTGACGAAGGACAAATCCGTCGATAAACCCAACAAGACCAGTGAATGTTCCAATAATCAACCACCTGAGATAGAGTAAGTATACTTCTTTTGTAAGTCTGGCGGATTGAAGATATTGAGCGAGTGGTATGCACGAATGGATTCACGAGACGACACGGGTCTGGAGAGATTTCCACTTACCAGTCGTCATCAAAAGACAAGACGGGCCCTACCGCGAACCAGATCGCGACAGCAAGGATAGAGATGGCAACACCAATGCCTGATCCCATGACATTGGCGAAGCCATCAATTTGACGTTCGACTCTGTTAGGGACGTCTGCTGGAATCTCGAAGATCTGGTTTGGCTTGACGTCCTCGGTCAGTTCGCGAAGGCGGTATTCAACTTCGGCGTCGATCTTCATTGCGTATTACAGGCACAACTCGAGACGGTCTTCCTGTTGCTGCTGAACGTTTTGAAGGAAGACACTAGTGAAGGTGAGACTGATAGCGGTTGCAGTGTTGATGTAAAGCTGTCACTGGTCGGAGAACTGCAGCAACGGACCAATGCCGACCCACTTCGGAGCAGTCAGCCATGTGCTACGCTTTTGAAAACTACCCACTGTATGGAAGGTCCCTTGAAAATGTTACGGTGGCATCAGATCACTTACAACAAAGATACCAATCCAATAAAATATAAATGCCCACAAAGATCCGAGCGTGATGGCGAAAAAGTAGCAGGTGCTACCCCAGATTTTTTTCCACCTTGTCTGCTCGCCTTGAGCAATACGAAGGCTTTCTTCGATTTCCTCTTCTATCGGTCTATTGGTTAAGACCTTGGGCTGTTCGCTGTGCGTCTCCATCCACCGGCACTCAGGGATCTGGCGTAGCAGGCGCTCACAGGTCATATTTCGTGATCTTTAGGTTTTCTAATAAGTAATTGCGAAGAAACTGCCATAGTGAACGGAGAAAGCCGCTGCTTGGAAGAAACACGTCACATAATTGGAAGTGTGTCCATGGGGCTACATACTGAATCTGAGCCAAGGTTGTCTTCAGTGCCAGAATTGCGTTCTTCTGTTGTCGGAGGAGGAGAATATCCGTAACGTAAACCTTGATTGAACTGGCGTTCTGAAGGATGATTTGCCACGTGTCTGTAGTCCCATATACGATTCCACACACCTAAGGACGGGAAGTCAGCAATCGTTGTAACGAAGACATTCTGAGGAGATGAAGAGAAGATCAACCGGAATAATTGTTTGGTATCCCCAGTACCTACGGCCCATAATGCTAGAAGTGCCATCATGAAAAAGAAGGTACCACTAGATCCTGCACCCCTAGTGATCCTGTCGAAGATATTTGGCCTTTTGGCTGAGGTTACTTCGGCGCCCAAAGACGTCTCAGAAACATCGAATACACTCTTCTCAGTGATAATCGGAGCAGATGAAGCTCGACCGGCGAACTTCCTATTCCTAACCTCCTGTGTCGGTGCCGCCGCAAACACTGGTCCGTTCTCAGGGGAGATGGAAGCTTTAAATTTTTGCCATCTTGAAGGCATTTTCAAGTCCGTCTGGTGTAATAGGTATGTGAATTTAGCTGTTTAGATAGTGAATATTAAGGAAAGGACGACGCATGAGCATGAGAAAAAGCTATGTAGAGCCCAAGAACTCAGGAGTGTGAACAGAAAAAAAATTTCTGGGTGTTTGTCATCCGATGGAAGACTAGTTCTTTCTCCCTCGGGAACGTTAGCCGATAATAACAAGGGTAGAAGTACTATTGACAGGTCGTCAGAAGGTCTGAACACATCTATTTAAGGAAGCAAGCAGTACTATGTAATGAAGAATAGTCGAAGGCGTCTCCAATAGCATCTGAGGCTGATCTCGAAAATGTCACTCAATCACTGAATGAGTGTTGCATATCTTTGGTGGTGGAAAAGTGACGAATTTGCCGATGAATGAACCAAGTGATGACTTGATCTGCCGGGTGATGTCAAGCTGAGGCGAGGTAGTCATGAAAGAAGTGTTAGACCAAGGCGACCATGTCCAGCTGATGCGCTTCGATGTAGATTTTCCCTTGCACACGTTAGGGCTATTGGCCAATGTTTGGATTCCGATTGCACATTCAAGCTTGGGGGGGCCCAGTCAAGCAATGTTACAAGCCTCTGATGGAAACTATCGTACGGCTCTCCCCCATGCATGAGCTTGCTGAGAGATCTTTCCTTATCTGCCAGAAATAATCTAAACAAATTTGCTTGTGAAAGTGTTTGAAAGTGATCTGGATACCCTGGAAGGAGCTAGCCGCTTGCGAGCCATTGCTGGCATTTAATGGTATTGAACAATACCTAATACGATCACTCCAAACTGATGACCTCGAAAATTCAAGCCAATCCTTTTCAAATTGGAACGGATTCATACTAAAGATTACATGGCTCCAGTGACCTCTAATCAAATGCTTGATTGCTTTTTTTTTCTGCCATAACGTTAAGTTCCCAGGTCTGGGCAGCCGCACAGACAGTGTTCTGACGTTGAATGAAGCATATTTTAGGCGAGTCGTTCTATTGTGCATCTTTCCGAATCGCCAACCTGAATGGTCTTGCTCCTTAAACCGCCCGTTTAACTGGCCTTTACTCCAACTCAGTTTAGCCCCTAAGGGTACGGTCCGTTTAGCCCCTACGCCCTATGGGTACGGGGGATGTTTGGAAGCTGGTGGCCGTGCCCCCAGCAGGGGAACCGGCATCTGCCCTGGGCATTTTAAGCATGATTTGTTTAAGCATCACCAAGACCGCCACCCGCCGACTAGCTCCAAATCGTAAATACGTTGGCGTTTCCCTATTTGATTTAATCAGCCGAGACTAATGAGCCGTTGGATGAATGTTTTCTCGCCGGTTGATATTTCTCATAGGCCTAAATGGGCATGACAACATGCCCAATGCAACCACTGAGCTTATTGCTGCACATGAATTGAAGGGTAATAAGCCTAGCCCGGAAACCCATCCTCGCACTCGCGACGAACTGGAGCCCAGCTTGAGTACTTCAGAAGTACCGAGTTGGAAAAATACTTGAGGCTCCCCGGCATCCCATTCCCCCGGATTTCGTTCAGGAAGAATATTTTCACTGGTCTGTCTGAGCCGAGTTGTTTTAGCTTCCTGCCGCGGCCGCGAGCAGCAGGTCTCGTCAGCTTCTCACTAGATGAAGGTGTTCTTGAAGGCGGCAATGGTCCCATTACCTCTGGCTGACGGCGCTAGCTTTTGCAGGGACGGAAGATAGTAGAGACTGCCGGCATTATTCTTAAGCTGAACCTCCCTCCTATGTACCTATATCTAAAATTTCCTAGATTGAATCTGCACGAAGCTTGGCAGGCGGTCCTCGAAACGACGACACTTTGAAATTGATGCCGCTACTCTTTGTCGGAATTGCTAGTAAGCCTCATGTAGCTTCAGCTAAGCGATTCTGTACTAACGTAATCCCCTTCTACTTCTCCCAAAGGGCTGCATGTTCGTGTACTGCTTCTTGCTTTCCTGCATCAATCTTCATGGTAAAATCCCAACCCCAACCTTCTTGATTCCTCTCCACCCCAAGATCTGACTTCAACATAGCAAGATCACCGGAAATATATCGTAGTAAATGAACATATTTGGGCTGATCATGTCGATTATCGGCACCAATTTCCGCAGAGTATGGTTCCTCGATACCGCAGGCGCCATCTGCATCGCCATTCTGATCCTCGCCTCCTCGGTGTCGACAGCCTACGAGCACATGTGGTTTCTGGTAGACAAGACGGCGCCGCAGGAATTCCTGAACAAGCTAGTCTACATGTCCATCACGCACGATACCAGAGTCAAGAAGATCGACACGCTAAGCAGTAACCCCCCTCCATCGCGCTGCGAGAAGAATTCTGATGTTGATTTCCCCACAGGCCCGAGCATACCACGCCGGCGACAAATACTACATTGAAGTAGACATCATCATGGACGAGAACGAGCAGCTGCAAGTTACGCATGACGTTTCTCAGACTCTGCAAAGAAAATTAGAGGGTACGTGTCGCTTAGCATCTTTCTCTGGCTGACTCGAGTCTCGGCAACTGACTTTTTTTTTTCTTTTTGTTTTTCTCTCTCTCTTCTTTGCAGGACTAGCAGATGTCGAGAGGGCGTTCGCACATGTCGATTATGACGGAGATCACAGTGTCCTCGACGAATATAGACCCCTGTACGAGCACGAGGAGAAGAAAAGCACCTCTCTTGGTCCGCGTCAAGGAGAAAGTCTTCAGGGCGAAGAGCCGAGAGGCAGCTCCTGAGACGAGCGCTGTTTGACAACTGGATGACTGACGCCAATCCCGGTTATGAAACCCTACGACTGTGACCGTGTACGGCATGATATAACGACTCTACGTAATTACTACTACCACTACTTGATAAGTTCAATCTTGGACGAAGCCGTCCATATATCTAGCTATCGCACGAACTTCATACCCCCTCCCCTCCCCTGTTTGACAACTCGCCTATCAGTCTCGCATCGCATCTGTAAGCGACGAACACCAAAGCACGATAAGGAAAGGCCTTCATTTCCTTGAATATTGCAACCTACCAGATTTAAAGGGAACACACCAGACACTTGAGAAGTTCTGCTAGGCATCAAGAACCGTACCCCATAAAGTCCCGACTCCATACAATATCCGTAGCGCTGATCTTCATCCGGGGTAGCCTACGGAGCAAAACCGATAATTCTGTCCGTGAATTGATAATGATTTAGTTAGCTATCTGGGATCGAGGCAGGGTTGGGTATCGCTCCCATTAAATAGGATCTATGTATCCCATTAGTGCGTCTCGTCTGAAATTTCATCTGGGAGGTTGATACTGATACTGATGAAGGACGGGGGGTGGGGGTTGGGGGTTGGGTAGGCTGTTATGATCTTGAAGGGTGAGAAGATGAAGAGAAGAGGAGAAGAGGAGAAGAGAAGAGGAAGAGATTGTCTTAGCTACGTATATATATTCATAGCAAGCGCGTTCTTTCAAGCTTACAGCGTGACCTTGTTAATTCAAGTCGCCTGGGTAGGCTTAGAGCTGTGGTAAGTATAGAATGAATTCCATTCCCGAATAAATCCCATCCCTATAGATCGGAAATAAGCAAAGTAGACTGCGCTATTGAAATCTCCAAAGCAAACTGGCGCAACAACAGTTGAGGTATAAAGCGGAGCTACCTACCCATGTGGCGCTCGGAAACATCTCCGTTAAAATCCCATCAAATAGTACAATACACCTTAATACTCTGGGAACACCGCGCGTCCAACATGACCGCCATTTAATCTTCCAAGCCCTCTCTGTCTGTGCCAGAAACTTCCATTGACTAGCTAGTCACTAGCCTCCCCTCCGAGTAATCAGCCGCAGAAACCTCCCCGGGGCCGTCGCCAGCGCCTCCTTCCTCTTAGCCCTCCGCACCCGCTTCTCCCTCTCCATCAGCATCGAGGCGGTAGTGGAGGTCGTCGAGCCACCGCTCATCGTCAAATAGGCTTTCGCGAGCTGCGATTTATCGGACACGGCTTTTAGAATCGCCGCTCCGGACTTCGTCGAGGCGAAGGCCCCGTGGCCGCGAGAAGAGGACGAGGCTGCTTTGAACTGCCCGCCTAGCGCCGAGAAGTCCCTCACCTGAGCCGACAGAGGCTGCGATTTGTCGACGGGGACTCGGTGGGTGGTGATGACCTGCGTCTGGGGTACGGTAACAGTGGCTTCGGTCGACGTCCTGGGATTCTTCAATTTGTTCACTCGGATCCGGTCGGGAACCACTCCTGAATTTAGGTTAGCGTCATGGTGGAAATCTGGGATCGGCACAAAGCGATCGCAACGTACTGATATTGACCTTTTCACCTTTGCAGATGCAGTATGGTTGTGAAGTGTCGTCGCCGCGGATTTGGCCTGATCCGAGCTTGACTCGCAGCCCGCTGGGTCCAAAAACATAATAGTTCCCATCTTCATCGACGCGAACTTCTTCAATCCCCTCGCCCGAGTTGTAATGGAGCCAGACTGCCCTGCCAAATCGATCCAGAAGCCAGGTCTGGCGCTTTACAAAAAGCGGGGGAGAATTTTGGATTGGCATGGTTGGGCTCGGATCTGTAGATGTTGCGGAATCGCTGTCGACTTCCGTAATAGCTTCCAAGCGGGTTGGCTCTAGGTGTAGCGGCCCAACCACAATCTTTGGTACAGTAAGTGCTGGCTCCCTGAGTACTTCTTGACTTCGAGATGTCTCGAGCGGGTGCCTCACAATGGATGAGTGACTGTTGTTCTATCTTGTTCTTAGCACCTCATTTTTGGAACAATTCTGGAGCCTTACTGTCACTGATCGCTCGCACTCTTTCTTTTCTCTCTTTCCAGGGGCGGATACAATGTTCGGCGTCCTCTCTGGCAGCGCCGACACGGGGGCTAGTCTGCTGTTTTGCTGACGACTTTTGGTTGGCCTAGATGACATATCGCTCGTTTCCTGTGATTCGGTTCGGGTCTCTGGCTCCAATATGTACGACCGACATGATTTGAAAGAGACACTGCGCCTTGGGATGCCATCAGATAAGGTACTCATGGTACTTATCGAGTCGCTATCAGATCCCAAAGATCCCGCTACATCTTCATCCTCCTCATCATGAGTTTCTAGGCTCGAAGCATACGCCGCAGATCCAACCGAACACGTGGAATCCCGTCGCTGATCGAACAGCTCTATCTTAAGGTCGTGAGATCCACCAGTGAATGTGAGGGTGATCGCATGCCCCAGTTCGTCCATTGTACTGGATCGATAAGGCTTTCGAGGCGATTTGAACCCAGGAATGACACTCGAGTGACGCGAGGTCGAAATTCCGTCAAGTACAATTTCAATATGAAATTCAATATGGATTAAAAGAATGTGAGATGAGAGATGGTCGTCCCAGAGGGTGCGACAAGTATAAAATGCCTTGATGCTTGGAAGTGTTGGACTCGGGTTCCGTCGAGACCAAACGCCATAAGCAATGCGCACTGTGCCGGATGGCCATGTTGATTGGATTTAAGCATCTAAATAGAGTTTGCTGGCACACCGTTCAAGCATAAGTCCTGGCTTGCGGTTTCGGGATCTGGACCAAACCCTGTGATTGGCACGTGAGCTTCTACACGTGACCATAGAGCGTGTCTCGAAGTTCAAGACGAACAACAAGTTCTTCCGACGAATCAATTAAATCAAAGCGCTGTACGGATTCCCCTTCTATCGACAGAGTATTGTTTGACGAATCTTGCACATTGCATGGCTGGTAGGTGCGTTAATTAACGCACACACCACCAATTTCTGTTGCGCCCGAAGATTTTCTTAGCATGAGATGAAGAAACATCAGCATAATCCGAGGAATTCATCTTCTCTGAGGATATCGCAGAAAGTCTTGCGCGGCAGGCCTCATCCGTTCTGGCATCGTAGACGTCTCCGACGAAGGCCTAACCATTGTGCTAGAAGGGCTCTGCAGTTCGGCTTGAGGCAAAGGAATGACGGTTTCTTACGCACTGAACAACGCATTTTCTCCGAAATATCAATTGGCATAGCTTGTGAAAACGAGCTGATCTTGCCAGTTAATCTTGAACAGGCAAAGAAAATGCATAGGTGGAGTGAGCTTTCCAAAGGAAAAGGCAAAGATCAAAGTTACAGAGAAATAAACACCTGTAGATCGATGCACAAAGCAGCGGTGGCAGCTCCGAGCGCATACTTTCAGTAAGCATACCGGTACCGGTACCGGTACATACCGCTCACGCACGTGGCGAGGACCGACTGGGCCAGCGCTCTGCTCACACGTCTCACGCCCCACGTCCCACGCCCGACAATGCCGCAGGGGAATGATGCAACCATCTCCTCCAAGTCTGAAGATAGCTACAGACAGGCAAAGTTTGAAGGAAGGGCAGATACTTAAGAATAAAACAGCACTGACCTTATTTTATGAGTGAGGCGCCAGTCGAATATTATTTCTTCCCTCAACCCTATCCGCTGAACAACACGACCCAAGACAACATACCCGGCCCATTATTAATTGTGCAAATTCATCGTCTTGGCCCAAATCTAAACACGGCTTAATTGATGTTATCTCCTCGTGCAAGAGGAAATGATGCATGGGGGAAAGTTACCGTAGTCTTAGAGTGGGCTATCAACAAAGACCCGGGGATTAACTCTGATTAGACGTCTTCCTCTCCCTTAATTGCATCAGCCAACTTGAGATACCGTATCGCGTCTCGGGTCTCTACAGAGTAAAAACACCGACGCGGGAGGCAAAGCTCCAAGTGGATACATAGCCTTAATCGTACCCCTGGTCGGAGTACATGTTGACAAGTCATCAGCAATGACTCGCTGCGAGCTGATATGCACAAAGTAAGCGACCGCATAAAGCGCAAGTATGTATACAGCCCTCCAGGCTGGGACTCTCCCCGCATCGACGGGTGTCTGGTCTGAGCCACTGCCGTATCCCATCACATAACGGCCGCGCGTGCAAGCGTAACAGATTGGATGGTGCGAGTAGGTGGTCTCCTGCAAGTCTTACCGCACCCGCGTGGTGCGTTAACGTTAGGTAGGTAACTGGGTCGCCGGCGACCCTACTTGCCCTCTAGCAGTCCTCTGGGATGGCCGACGGCGATAGCACGCTACTGAGTCCTGTTAGTTGAAACTGGAGATGTCAAGGTGTTGAAGGGCGCTTACGCTTGGGATGATAGGAGGATGCAGATGGGGAGGGGAGTATCAGGATATCGTCATCGTTGGGGTTTGCCTGGATTGACCGATCTTTCTGCACGTTTCAGCTAGGCTGCAGACGAGGAGAGCATCGCCTTCAAGTCTGATGTTGAAGACCTATCCACCACACTATCCGCCACAACTGCGTGCCGTGGTGTGGTGGTGGTGGTGGTGGTGATGGCTGCTTGCGAGGGAGGGCAATGATACTTGGTAAGTAAGATCACGTGAGTAAAACATTGTACGTAGTATACCGGTATTATGAATTATTCTGCCATCCGGGGTAGAGGCGGTGACGGGAGCTGGCCCGGCCCGGCCAAAACCTGGCAAGACCGGGCCAGCTCCGCCCACGGACACGCTTGGTGTAACTTGGCATGGCATAGCTTGACCTGGCCTGGCACCGTGCATTTGTTTATTCCACTTCTTCATCTCCGTACGACAACAACGACAACTACAATAACTACAACACCAGAGACTTCTATCCTGCTGACCACCTGCACGCACTCGTCCTTTGCTCCAAGGACACATCGATACAGCCTCGATTTTCTATTTACTCGGCTCAATACCCGAGCACAATTCACAGCCTGCTTTACTTGCTTGCTTGCTTGCTAGGCGAAATCCAAGCCTCTTCATCTCCCCGTCGACGCCAAAATCCAAACAAAACATCGCAATTCTCCTGCGCCAACGCTTTCGAAAATCTCCAGCTTCCCCACCAATCCAAGCCGCACGTCTGAGCGAGGCCTCGACAGAGCTTCCCAGTGCATAATCTGTGCGAGTGCTTCTCACAGACACAAATTCTGCGCAAACCTTCATGCCGTCCGGCGACAGCAACGACAACGAAAACAACAACGAATCGCGAACCTCCCACTTTCTCCCGACACACATGCGATACGAGCGTCAATATCATCCAGAAATCTGCCGACACGAGCAACTCTTAATCTCCATCTGGGCGGCTCCCGCCACCCAAGTCGCCCGCTATGGATCAAACGGCACATACCGCGCTGCTCGCCGCGAACCTGGTGTATGCGAGAGCAGCTAATACCACAGAGTCAACGACAGATTCCAGGCCGCCGGTCTACAAAGCAATCGGCATATCACTAGCCATCGGCTCAGGCGTGTTCATCGGAGTATCTTTCGTAATGAAGAAGGTCGGGCTACTGCGTGCCAATGAGAAATACGAAGAGGTTGCTGGCGAGGGCTACGGATACCTCAAAAACGGGTTCTGGTGGTGCGGCATGGTGCTGATGATTGTGGGAGAGGTGATGAATGCCGGGGCTTATGCGTTTGTTGATGCGATATTGGTGGCGCCTATGGGGGCCTTGTCAGTGGTGGTCACGACCATTCTGTCGGCGATATTCCTGAAGGAGAGACTAAGCTTAGTGGGCAAGATTGGGTGTTTTCTGTGTATTGTTGGATCCGTTGTCATTGCGATGAACTCGCCCTCGGAGTCATCGGTGGCCAACATCGAGCAGATGCAGGATTTCGTTATTGCCCCGGGCTTTCTCAGTTTCGGGGGAGTGGTGCTCATTGCATGCGCCGTGCTTGTATTTTGGGCCGGTCCGAAGTACGGGAAAAAGACCATGATGGTGTATCTCTCGATTTGCAGCCTGATGGGTGGACTCAGTGTGGTGTGTACACAAGGCTTTGGTGCTGCCGTCATTGCCCAGATTTCGGGGAAGCCCCAATTCAACCACTGGTTCATCTATATTCTGCTGGCTTTTGTCATCTTTACACTTGTCACGGAAATCATCTATCTCAACGTAAGTCTTCTATCCGTATCCCTAGAATCAGACTAACAGATATCAGAAAGCACTGAACTTGTATAACGCAGCCTTGGTCACGCCGACATACTATGTTATTTTCACCAGCTGCACTATTGTCACATCTATTATTCTCTTCAAAGGGTTTAAAGGATCCCCTACTTCAATCGTCACTGTCATTTTGGGATTCTTTACTATCTGTGCCGGGGTCGTTCTACTTCAATTGTCGAAATCCGCCAAGGATGTTCCAGACGCTGCCGTATTTGCAGGTGACCTGGACCAAGTCCGTACTATTGCCGAACAAGAGCAGTCCGAGATGGAGCCAAAAGCAGATGCCATTCGAGGAACAGCAGCTATCGTCCGACGCATTTCACAGGCCAGAGATAAAATGCAGTTAGCAGAAGCCAAGCGGCTACACGAAGAGAGACAGCTAGACCTTGTGCCCATCGGCGAGAACGAGCACGTCGAATGGGATGGTCTCCGAAGACGTAGAACAACATTCGGAACCAACAGTGTCCGCTCCCGCAGCGTCCGCTCCCGCGGCAACACGACCCCTTTTCCAGAATTCGACACCCACACCCCAGTGCAACACATACCCGTCCAGCATCCACCGCTCGGCATGTCGCGTTTCCCTACCGACTCCGATGACTCCGACCACGAGGACCACCGCCCTAACACGGGCTCCTCGCTCTCCTTCTTCCAGCGTGCCCGCTCGATCGTGGACCCCCGCTCCCGCAACACCACCCTACAAAATTCAACCCAAAGCCCTATGCACCCCGTCCCACTAACCGAAATCTCCGTCCCGACCTATAAAAGCGCGATTGACGGCACTCCAACCTTCTCTTACGGCCACGACGCAGGGGGCGGCGGCCACACGTACAATTCACCACCTGGGAAAACAGAATACCAAGGCGCTGGTGAACGCCACGTTACGATTGTGGAAGACTACCCCAGGCTTGGGAGCTCGGGGAGTCTGCATCCGAGTATGGCTCCTACGCCACCGCCACATTCTGCGAGGAGACAATTTTCGTTCCAGAACGTATTCAGGAAGGGACAGTCACCATCACAAAGGCAGGCTGGAGTCTTATCCGAGGAACAAAATCCCCAAGGGCAGTCCCGATCGCCTATGGCGCGCAAAGGTCTTGGAAATCTTCGAGGCAGCACACCCGCTGTGAAAGGCGCCACGGAGGAAGAAAGACTTGGTCTCGTTAAGGGGGACACGAATACAGAACGTCGGCCGGCGTTACCGACGTATGAAGACGAAGACGAGGGGAGTGAAGCCAGTGGAAGCCAGGCAAGGATGAGAAGTGATAGCGAGGGTAGCAGGGATCTGACGGGTGGGAGGAGGCAGCATGGACTCGAGGCTGGCGGGGTGCTGGAACACCAGTACTATGATCCGACGAGCTATGCACCACCTACCAGTGTGGGTAGAGGGACGGGGAGGCCGTTACCGCCGCCGCCGCCGGACGCCGACGACGAGTTTATCGGTGGAGGAGGTGGCGCTGGCAGGAGCGGCGCGTTTGTATAAGGGATTTCCTGAGATCAGGATAAGGATGAATGTACATCCGAGGTCAAGGGATCGGAAAGGCGGGTGAAGGTAAAATGACGAGTCATGACTTTCATTGAACGGACTCCGCAACGAATTTCTTTTGGATACGCAATGCGTATATAATAACTGTATTATAGATCTTATCGTTGCTAGTTTGCTGAGAGTGGATAGCGTCAGGGTACGCGTTGATGGTACGTGTACGAGTAACACGACGATGAGCACTGGAGCGGGAGGGGGAGGAGGCTAGGGGCTACAGGAACTTGTGCATACCAGCATCGAGACGAGACACAGCCGAGGGACCACAGTACCGGGAGCGCAGTGTATCGAGCGATGAGTATTAAAGCTTTACTCCATTTTTTCGCCTTTGTTTTCATTTTGATGCCAGGTAAACAGGTAAGTACCGAGCGGCGGGGTGATGATGAGAATAAGGTTACTGGGTGGATTGATTAGTAGGCAGGTATTTTCAAGACTTGTGTATTTCGGACTTGGCCATTCAGCCAAGTAGCTAGGTATCTGAGATGGCTACCAGGGCAGTATGCATTTATAATAACAATGAATAATTAAAGTTTTTCCAAGGGGTCACAGGGTTGAAGAACTGAATAGTGGGGGTTTGCTGGCATATACGAGTAGACTGAGGAGACTTGGGCATCCCGTTCGCTCTGCCGTCTACGAACACAAGTAAGCCTCTGATCGCGGTGGATTGGGTAGTAGGTGGGTGACCACCAGCGAATGCCTGCTGTTGTATGTCTATTACTGTCTCGTCTCTCTCTTTTTTTTTTTTTTGGCTCTTGATGTGTTGTGGAGTTGAGTTATCTGTCTGCTGCCTGCCTGCCTGCCTGCCTGCCTGCTGTGAAAGAAAGAAAGACTGATCAACGAACGGCCTCGCCAACCTCGGGAGATGAAGAATATGTAGGGTATCAGCACTTTTTATTTTTGTTGAGCAGTTGTATCTTCTGCCTGACTCGTCGGTTGGCTGAGTATGAGTGAAAAAAAAAAAAAAAACTGCCAACTCCCGCTAGTCCTCCGTCACTACTGGAACGGGTTGTCGCGAAAGTTCAGCTTCGCTGTAATAGCAACACGGGTTTCCAAATAAGGTATTAGATCTGATTTGAGATGGAGGCTGCATCTCAACCTCTCTCGCTCATGTATGGCTAGCGACTGACATGATTTCCAGAGAGGACGGGGGGGAAAAACACCTCAAAATTATGGACCAATTTCTATCCGCACTAGATCACCGAACTGATGGGTAATGACAGTTCTTGTCCCCTCTTCACCCAGTAGACAAACTCTGCGAGCTGGTCGAGAACAGCGTGCACAATCGCCATTCCCCCGGCCGAATTCAGCTCTTCCAACCACGAACTGTGTGTGCCGACCAGACTCTCTCGAATCCAATGGTCGTAGAAAGCCTTGCAGAAAAGGCTCAGGATTGATGGGTGCTTTCCATAAAGGCTCACCAGAGTCTTGAACTGTGTGCAGCGACGAGATAGTGGCGTATCCTTGCCCTCTAAGATTTCAACAAAGCTTGCACATACATTTAGCCAAGTCATCAGCAGTAGAGACGTAGACAGACGATTTACGTACACCGTGATTTCCTTCCCGTTGTCGTCTACTCCCTGCCAAACCGACTGCTCGCTGTACGAGATGGTCTCCTTGTACAGCACTTTTTTGAGATTGGTGAGTGATGGGTGTAGGTCTAGAGTCGTGAAGTTTTGGAGTGAGCGTATAGGCGACTTGGTATAGGACTGAGAAATAAGCTTCGCTTCCGCAGTGTTCAGGCCCTGAAAGGCGGCGAAGTGCCAGCTAAACCCTAGCTCGTCCTTGAATGGTGCCGAATAAGAGAAGCTAGTCCGGTAAATTTGGCGGAATTCCGACATCGCGATCCAGCTAATGGAGATGATGCTGGTTCAATCTCAATCTACGGTGAAGACTGACAGAGGGCGCACGCTTATCTACGTGGTACTGCCTCGATTCCCTGACGCTTCTTATAGAGCCTTGGAGAGCGAAAGTCGGAACGCCCTGCTGTTATTCAAGTGCACACTCACATTCCTGACAGGCTCCAAGTTTCCGTGCAACCAGGCCATGAAAGCGGGTCTCTTCCAAGCGCAGAACGACGTTGCCAGGCCCCCCGAGAGACTCCAGGCCGTGGCAGACCGCATGCTAAACGTCTAAAAACTCGACCTCCCAAGACCCATGATAGCAAGGTTCAATTCCAGCCCCCAAAATGCACCCATACCATCGACAAGGTCGCGAAGGCCAACTTGGCGCCGGATCCCTGGTTTGCTTGGATACCAGAAAAGGCCACTATGAGCGATGTGGAAGCCTCTTACCGATCGGCACTCAACGCGGGCACCTCAAATATGATCAGGTCCCTTCCTTGGTAGGCCAAGAATAATGGCCAGAACGATGTTTGGGACCCTTACATTCTCGCCTCTGCTAACGTCCCCCGCGCTCGGCTCGATGCAAAAAAGTTGAAAGATATCGAACTGCGCCTTCAGGTGGCCACTCGTATCGTCCCCACAGCGGTCGAATGGACAGCAAAAACCAAGGAATATGGCTTGATAGTCTCAGAACTGCAAGATATATTGCGTGTGGCGTTTGGCGACGACCAGTTGCCATCCACAAGGCCACTGAATGGTCGTGCTAGATTACCCAAAATACTGGGACTCGCTGCACAGGGTCTGAGCCGTGCGAATGAACTCGAGAAGAAGTCTGACATCCTAAGACGCGTTGGAACTGTTGCACGCATTATTGCATACACTCTATTGGGGGTACCTGTGGTGTCTGGGGAGTCTGGTGACTCCGGCAACGCTTCTGACGAGCAGGCACGTATACTTCCCACTATCATTCATTGTGCCGCGCTGATCTTATGGGTTGATCAGTGGGCAAATGTAGCTGGCGGCAAGAAATGGATTGTGCAATCTCGAAGTCTTGCCCGCTTCTGGTGCCGGGCAATAGCAAGAATGCCGCACTGGCGAGGACGAGAATGGGCATTACATCTCATGATAGGTGAGCTGTCAGGCATTGCAACGGGACTTCCGGCTGACGTGTCCCGTGTGAGGCGAAGCGCCTCTACGAGCGTTGTTTCGAACAGCCATTCCGGCGGGCTGGGAGAGTTCGTATCGACGTTGGAATCGGAGATATACTGGGGAGATTTGCCGGTCTTACATAGGCTCCCCGGTGTGGTTGAGTATGTGATAGCGTTGCTCGATGGTTGCGTGAGGTGAGTTGTCACCTAGTCTGAATGGGGGCCGGTTGCTGAATTCGATTTCAAGTCAGAACGTGATCTTTCGCGCTCTGGGATGCCCTGATTCCTACCTGGACACTATACATTCCACGCCACCTGCAGGAACTTCTGACAAGATGGCTTCTTCGTCTTCTCTGATTACTCGATCCGTCGTGGATAATTGGGATCCTTCTCATGTCGATGGAGTAGTTCACACAGGGGTACAAGGGGAAGAGCCGTACTCAGACGATCCATTCGCACTTGGAATACCCCGCACAGGCGACACTGGATCGAACGAAATAACGGATCCATATCATATGGAGATACTTCTCGGACCCGTCTCTGAAACAGCAGGATGTGCAGATGCTACGACTCATGATGGCCTCCAACCATCCATCTCTGGCGGAATTGAAGTTATTACCGAGAGCTTCAATCACGGATTCGTTATAAATGAAGCTAATGTGATGCATCCTTCAAGCACTATCTCCCCTGAGCTGCTACCGGATCTGATGTCCAATCCAATCGCAGCACACGCGCTGGGAAGAAACCGATGATACGTAATTTCAACCAACCAGGAGGGATAGCGGTCTGCGAGTTCAATTGATATGAAAAATTATGGCTCGGCCTTCGCTGTGGTGATACAGCACTGGAGCCTTCGCTCTCGCCACCGCAGCCTGCGCGAAGTTAGTGCATCATGGCTTTGATCTCGAAAGGGACCTCCTCCATTCACAAGTGGAAATCTTGGAGTCTGGGAGCAGATTTTATATCTTGATTGACGGCCATTTTTGTAAACAACAGCCAGAGTTGCGCAGCCTTGATCGCCGTAGATCGTGAAAGGCCATTGTAGGTCCTCTGACACTCACTCTCTTCGTCTCACTTTCTTCGTTCGCAATCATTGACGTGCAAGCAGCACCTCAAGTAAATGAGTTGTTCGCCGAGGACCGATCGGTGTTATCGCATTTGGAAGGCATATGCCGTGATGCACCTAGCTGCCATTCTTGCCGGTTTGTCCTTCTGCGTGCGGCATTGTTGGAGGATTTCACATACCAAGCTAGCAGGAGACACGGCTCAAGATGATTCTGATAGAGAAGGAGAATGGCAGACTCTTTGAAATGAAAAAGTATACTTGAAAGGAAAGCATTCGGACGAGATGCCTGCTGTAATGCAAGAGGCAATTTTTATTGGTTGTGCTAGATCATAATACAGCAGCGCGATGATTAGATCATTTCGTGCCGCGAATCTGTTCGAAACAAGTCTTGAGTTTTTCATATACTTCATCCTCAGAGCCGTTGCAATCGATCTTGTAAGATGGATTAATCAAAGGGACGTACGAGAGAAGGGATGGATGGACCAACTCACCCCGAAGAAAGGGCTGCAATCCCGCAAGTGCTGCTCAACTGGCGAGTTCTGCTGCTTGAAAGCCTCGACCCTGCCTTTGATCACGTCAGGATCGTCGTCCAAACGATTCGAAGATGCGCCTCGGTTGTGCATACGCTTGATCAAGACATCAACATCACAGTCCAGAAAAATGGTATTGAAGCTCGGACAAATCTTTGGAGGTTAGCGCGAGTTGACAAATGGCATGACAGCTCACCATCCTCTAAAATTCGTTGGCCTGGCTATTGTTCCTTGGGAACCCGTCGATGAGGAGGCACTGTTTCTGTCCTGGTGCTGATACCGCCCCAATTCTCCGCTCCAGCAGATCGCGACCAAGCGCGGAGGTACGGGCTGTGGTGGCTTAGACTTCATATGATCGGATATTAACTCTGCATATTCGGATCCTTCACGAGCCATTTCCTGCCTCAAGAGATCGCCTGCTGATATATGGCAGATACCGAACTCGAGTGCGAGTCGGGAATATTGGGTGATCTTGCCTGAACCAGGAGGGCCTACAAATGTGAGAAATACTCGGTACGAAGGGAAATGACAAACCGATCAAGAAGATAACCTCGCTGTACAAGTCCCTTTTCTCCCAGAAAGTTTTTCGTGCCTGGACCAGCGCGTCCTTCCATGGCTGGCACGCTCCACTTCGGACTTTGCTAACCTGGTCCTCGAACATCTCATCGTCTCTCCACTTCCCACATGATTTCATCTCGTTGGCTATGAGCTCTAAGGCACACTCGATCCGGTCAAGATCACGGACAATCTTCGCGTCCTCGGTTTTTCCGTCCTCAAATTCGAGTCAGAGTTCCATCGTTTGGTCCGCGAAGGCCGAATTTGACTTTGCAGCCTCGATCTGGATATATTTCATCGCCAGAAGCTCGCGTTGGTGCTTCTCTTCTGACAAGGCATCAGCAACGTGGATTGAGAGCCATCTTCGACTATTGCCCTACCTTTTGATACTCCTTGAGATGGCGTTATATCTCCAACAAGTGACTCGGCCATGTCATGGACAAGGGCCATAGCAGCTCTCCTGCTGGGGTCGCCATCAGACTGATAGATGTCAGTAAGAGGAGATCTCTTGAAGATGGACAAACCTTAAGCAGCGAAGCCATGACCGTCATCAAGAATATATGGCCGCTGACACTTTCTGGGCAATCAACACCATGCTGAACCCATCCAGTGCGGGGAAGATGCTTGAGTGTCTCGAGAAGCAACATGAATGGTACAGGCGAGACGATCTCGTGTTGGTCCATTGCGACGATATCAATTCAGTTGAGAAGTGGGGGAAAGTTGAGTGAGGTTGAAAAGGTATCAACTGTAGCATTTGATTGTTTTTACAGGTTGTACTGAAAGATCACGCTGTTCGAAATAAGAAGTTGTCAGGAAGGCCCCTCGCTTGCTTACTGTAAGATGCGATGCGATTCATACCATCAGATAGGGTTAGATCGGGCCGTCATGTGACTATACGGCGTTTAGCCAGCGACAGCATGATTCTGAAAACCCAAACTCTGCGCCATGATGGGCGGTAATTGTGTACGACACACTATGTTTGAGGAATTTTCAAACAATGATGCGTCTGAGTGCCTTACGCAAATCGCGACACATTCGGGGTCGGGTGAAGAGTGCGCAAGCGAGGTACAAGCTCTTCTCAGCATCCGACCATTGTCTGCAACATCGTCATACTGATCCTCCTTCCAAAATCCGAGTCTTTCGATCAGTTAACAGCTATTCGTTTTTCAGGAAACCGAAAGCTCCCAACCTCAACATATGTCCCATCACTCAAACATCGACGCGGCCCCCTCGACCCCAGCACCAACCACGAACTTCCACTTTACATCTTCCCATCCTTTCCTCCTCTTGATCTTGACTTGCAAATCACCTTCGGGATGTTTGACCTGCTCACTCATAGCCTGCATTTTGACCTCAAGGACCCTCACCCCCTCAATGTCAAATGCGGCGACCAAGGTAGCCACGACCCCGACGATTTCCATGCTGGAGAAATACCTCCCGGGGCATAGCGCCGAGCCGCCGCCAAAGGGGCTCAAAGCTTGCTTCCTCTTTTTTCGAGTCTCTTTGTCGATTCCGGCGGCGGTGGAGGAAGTGAGGAACCGCGTCGCGTCAAATCTTGCGGCATCGGGACCCCAGATTGAGGGGGAGGTGTGCATGGTCTGACAGTGGAGTTGGATGATGCTTCCTTCCTTGAGTGTATAAGTGTCGTTGAGGACGGTGTCGGCGGTGACGACGCGGTTGGGGATTGTTGCAGCGCGGATACGGAGGGTTTCTTGCCATGCTGATACGAGAAGTGGACAACTCTGCAGCAGGAGGCTGATGTCCATTCTGGCTTCGTTGTTTCCTGCTTGGGAATTTGATATGGATGTTATTTCTTCCACTTCTTTTCGGATAGACGAGAGAAGAGAAGGAGAAGAGTAGATGAAAGAGACGAGCCAGAAGATCCCGGGGTTGGAGTTTATAGTCGCGGCCATCAAAACACCAATATCAAAACAAGCAACGTCATCTGTTGTAAATCCATTCGAAGTGAGGACATCATGGCGGCCACGAATGAGAGCACTAGCATCGCCAAGATCATTATTCCTGTAGTAATGTTTGAAAGCTTCCCGGAAAGCAGCTCGAGCCCGGTTTCCAGACGGGCATGTTACTGACGGAAGAATGTTGAGAAAGAGGAGGGCGATGGATTTTTCAAAGTCCCTAAGCATTTTTTTTTAGTAACAATCGGAAGACGAGAAGACTGGGTGCGATGCCTCACACCAGCGATTGAATCATCGCACTATTTTGGGAGATCGGGTTCGACGCTCCATACAACGCTTCTGCAGTAGCAATCGTGAAGCGATGCTGAAGCCAATCGTAAAGATCTACCGTTTCGCCTACGGCATCAACTTCATCTAGGAAAGACGCAAATCGAGTGAGCGCGACAGCGTTCGTCTGAAAGAGCGATCGACCGGGCTGCATCGTTGCGTGCATAACTCTGTATGTTGCTTTCGCGACGGGATGTTCTTCCTCGCCATTTCACGAGGGGCGATACCCTGCAATAGATCGACTTGCCGCTTCGTCATCTGGAAGACCCTCTTCGATACGGAGGTAGTAATGGGATCGAAGGACAGCGTCTTGGCATTGCGGAAAACGCTCTGAGCAAGCTCCGGAGATGTGATGATATAGATCTTCTTCGAGAAGATCTTGAGGGCAGAGATTGGCCAGGGATATTTCGAGCTGGGATGCACATTTTAGCAATGACGAGCAGAGGTATTATCGGGATACGCACCACAGCTTCTGGTAATAGTCGGCTTGAAGGGTAATCATTCCCAGAAGGTGGCCGATAATAGGGACTTTCGGATGGACTATAGGTGGTCTTCGCGTGTGTGAGGTTTGTACTGTGCTACAATGACGGACAAGTAGCACTGTTGCGAAAATGAGGCCTATGAGAACAGCATATAGATTGCCATGCTGAATGATCTGAGCCAAAAGGCCTGGCTCTGTTGAATCTATATTAGAGGACATTGAAATATTAAATCTAAGATTCACATTGATATGCTTCCATAATATAAAGCATTGCGAAAGATCCCCGCGAGCGTTTCGGTTGTTGAAGTATGGCTGGATATTGATATACCGGTAACTTTTGGTCAGTCTGATTAAGGTTGAGGCCTTGATTGTGGAACTTCATTCCGCGGATCACGTGCCAGCCTATCGGAAATGCAACTTTCTGGTTATATGTTGCGGTTTTCTGGAGGATTATGATTAGTACGAGTAAGTAATATTAACGACATGATGATGTGTATTTTCATCGCAAAGCTGTACGAATGCGACTAAAGTATGGAGATATCTGATCTTGACAAGCTTCTAGGGAGACTCGAACCGACAAATCTCGCCTGATTGCATTGTTTTATAGATGTTATTCACTTCAAGAGAGCTCCAGTTTTTGGCAGAAGATGGTATAGCCCACGACACTCATTATTAAAGCATCCTCAAACAGGAATAGGCTTTGGTTTTAAGTCGTTAATTCAAATGTCTGATCTTCGCTTAGTCCTCCCAAATTTTTCATATGCTAAGCAAAGATATAGTTCGAAGCTGGAGCCAGTTTCAAGCTCGTAATCTTACCAATGTTCTGTGAGAATACTCACTCCCCTTACGAAGTGGCATATCGACGCGAGAACGCGGTGACTGCGGCCAGCCTGAACAATAGTTGGGTATTGTTGCACGAGCTGGAATGGAGCGCGCCACAAAATGCAACCATCCTGTAATCTTACCGTCGACGTTACCGTACTTGCAACCGCCCAAACTTGTCAACCAATTGTCGACCGTCTCATGTTCTCGAGATCCAACATGCTTTGCTTGACTCCGGACTGAAGTCAATTCGAAAAATGGCTGCATGAGAACCTCCAGTCGCGAGGGTAAAATCTCTATCTGGGCCTGTGAAAACGGGTCGGTATGGTCTCTCAACTCTCGAGCTGAGCCTTGGGCGCATGATCCCAACGATCCAGCCTCATTTCCTTGTTCGGACGGGGCACGCGTCTGTGGCTTCGCAGCTGAAAAAAACACCAGTCCTACCTAATCCGCGCTTTTCCCTTCACCTCAGTTTCGGTCCTCGATTCTCTTCTTTTCTTCTTCTGCTGTACATACCCTTTCACCATCTCCAACCATGAAGCCAACAATTCTCATCCTTCCGACCTTTTTGGTTCCCGGCCTCATGGCTCAGACAGTGACACACATCACCCAGATCGCGATCTTGTCAGACCTCCCCCTCTGCCTCTCTACCGCCGTCGAGCTGGTCTACGATGGTCTCCGCACGAGCGCGTGCCCCCAGACAAACCCGAGCAGCGCAGCCAGCTGCCTCTGTCTGAAGACCGTCAACTCGGAAGCGATATCGATGTCGATGTCGATCTACGTCATGATCATGTGCGCCGGCATCAGCGGAAAGGCGGGCGATACCGAGAATCTGTCGAGCGGCCTGGCGGTGTTCTCGGAATACTGCTCCGAAGCCCTGGGCAAAGTGCCGATCACGACGGCGGGAGCGACACCTGCGCAGACGGGCGCAGGGGTAACTACTCGTGGTATGTTAAAAGCCTTTTGACCGCAATGAAAACCTATCAACCAGTTCTCTCTTCGTTCAACTGAATCGCGCTTATGTCTTCTCTTAAGTACCGATTGCAACATCCACTCCCGCAGCTGGTAAGACAGATGCAGATCAGAACGACTCGCCCGCTTCGTCGTCGTCTTCTTCTTCCACAACCTCTTCCTCTTCTTCCACTTCTTCGTCTTCGGGCCTCAGCCTAGGCGAGAAACTCGCCATCGGCGTCTCCATACCCGCGACGCTAGCCACGATCATCGCCGTCTATTTCGCATACAAGCAGCACAAAAGGGAGAAATTAAAGGCAAAGCTCGCGGTCCAGCTTCTACCCGGGCCGGTGCGACTTCCTGCCTCGCCACCATCCTCCCAGCTTGTTCAGCAACGATGAAGATCTAAATCGATCCCCTAGGGATGTCCAATCAACGCACGCGTTGAATAAGACCCGGTCGAGTTAGACTGACATGACCTCGAACCCGAGATTGCCTTGAGCGGAAAATCTTGATCCGGGAAGAAACGATGATGGAGTAATCCGGAGAAGGATCTTGAAGATTATTTAGTCGTTGTGTGACTACTGGTTTTGCAGCCTTTGTCCGATATGGTTGATTGGTACGCGGACGGAATCGTGAGTGCCTCGTTTCGATGCCCTGGCCGGTAGGACATGCCAAACTGGAGATGAATTGCTGAAGTTAGATGGTGGACGAAGCTTCCCAGAATGCCGGACCTGACAGAGGTTGAGGTGCTCACTTTGTTCAGTCGGGGGGAAGGCGTCAAAGAGGGCAATTTTCTGACGGAAACATATAGAATAAATAAGTGGGCTCGCTGCACCGGGAACTCGTCGAACACTTCATGAGAAGATAGCGACGAGACACGTTGGGGAGAAGCTGCTATGGCTTACTAAGTCCTTCCATATGCCATGTATTTTTATAAAAAAAACTAATATTCTCGACGTCAGCGACCTGGGTACTATCGGCACAGTACTACCGCTGGAGTTGATAAGGCTTTTTCTTCACGTATTAGCCCCTTTCTCCTGCTCATGTAATCAGATGTACCGAGTCTGCAGATTCCTCATCTAAGTTGAAAGGTACTTGATATGCGTTACGTACCTTCCCAACAGCAGCTTCTTGGCGATTATTAAGCAGCGGTGCATCTGATATACTTCAACCATTTGCACCATGAGGTCAAAACTTCGATTGCAATGGAGTGGCGCCGACGAAAGCTTTTTCGACTCTCGGTTAGCTATCACAGCTGACCCTTATTACTTACGTCGCATATGTCAGACTGAAACAAGAAGAACTTCTTGTAGATATCCGAGGGGCCTCACCGACATTTCTTTTGTTATCCTAAGTGTCTACCACGACATCGGTAACTTCCCGACCCATCCCTTGGTATTTCTGATTTCGACTTGGGGTGTCCAGCTATCTGGAGCAGCCCTTCCAGACTTGCTACAGCATTACTAGTAGCATGAAATTATGCGCAGATCATATGCATGTCATGTTCCTAGGTGAAAAGACCGCCTCGTAACGTTCATTCTACCGGTTCTCGCTCGCCCTAACTTGACATAACATATGATCGAGAAAAGAAATAGTAGCGACTCCTGCAGAAATCAACCGATGCGGTTTGCAACACCTCACCCATTCATCTCTTCCCATACATATGCAATATCGCCCCGAGTCAGCTACCCGCATCAATGTATCGACTCCCCTTCCAGTTGCTGTTGTGCAAAGGCAGACCTGCATTGCAGACCTGCATTGCACATTCCAGTAACCAGTATTATAACCTTATACCCCGCACGACAGTTGCATACCTATTGGACGAAGGTCCCCGACTGCCGATCAGACATGATCATATCTGCGGGGACCCCAGAGCAGAGGCGTTGGACGGGCTTGATGGCAGCAAAGAAGCTTCAAGCCGTTAATCGGCGACGGCACAGCGGTGTAGTACCTATGTATGTACTCACGTGCTACACTCCCCGAAGATCCCCATATCTGGGGGCAAGTGATATACTACCGGTACTATATGTGGCTTACAGCTTGTGGCTTGTGGAAACTGGCTGCGGGGGTGGAAGGACTTCCCGAGATGCGGTAGGTAGTGGTACATACAGTAGAGTCTAGACCCGCGTCAAGGATATTCGAACCAAGGATGTTTCGTCAATATCCCTATCTTCCAGGCGCTGACTCTCGTTTTTAAAAAACTTATTCAACAAGAATAATCCCACTTTAGTAAATGAGTACCTTTACTTACGGAGTAGAGATCTACGAAGTACGTAGTACGAGCCTTAAATCGCTTGTGTAACGTGATAGCGGAAAATCCTTCGAAACTTAACATCGGATAAGGTAAGGCTGAACTCTGATAAGTGAGAGACATAACTTTAAAGCTTAAATCGCCATGGCAAATTTGCAGCCCGGAATGAAAAAGAAGAGAAATCCTACTTCATTGAACGATATCAGGTCAACGACAGGCGAAGGTTATGACCTTGAATTTGGCCTCTGTTATTCACCCGTAGAGATAGTATCGGTCTTTCGCTCTGGAGTGAACCCGGTGATGATGGCGTTACTTTATCAAATCCTACACCTGATGCTCACTCATAATCACAATCGCAATCCTTTATCTGTCAGCCCCACTTTTCAAACATGAGGATCCTTTGGATAGGGATACATCATAACATCCTGATTTTGCCTCCGTCCTAAGGCAATCCTTGTGTCGAAGGTGTAGCGTTATTTTCCCCAAGGGATTGTGTTTCTCTTCTTCGATGATGTCCGGCCTCGTGATGATCTGCACCAAGAATCGTACACTCTTCATGCACGCAAGCCTCGTTGCTTAGCTGTTCTTGGAAATCCTTGGCTCGTGGAGTCAGTAAGTGGTCCGGTGTCGATGGTCGAGGTCGAATTCGAGGTCGGTGAAGCAGATCATGGAGGTTGAGTAGTCAGTTCCGAAGTGGACAGGCTGAGAAAGGGTTCTTGCTGGCTGGGCAGTCTTAGTAATGTAGAAGATATAAGAGCTCGGGTGCCGCCATGGCGAAGGATCGATCTCCTGTATGACATTCTTGTGTATCCTTGGACGGAGCTTAATCTTTCTTGTGTAACCTTGGCAGCCCGCCTGATCCTTCGGCCGAATCTCTTTCTTTGTAAAGGAAACCCCGAATCCAGAAAGGGAGAGCTTCAATTACCGGTACTCCAGCAAGAACAAAGCTGCGAGAGACGTTGCCCGTCATGCGCTTTACCCCAGCTCCAACAGGCCCTGAGCCAGCAGACCCGATCGTGAAGGGCATCATCCCAACCGCAAAGCAGAGTCTGTCTGATCTGCTCAAGTGGAAGCAGAGAGTCGTCGTGACCAATGAACATGGCGAAACTCACTGCGAATGGCACGACCCGGAGCCGCTCAAGAATCCCTTCTCCCTCTTCGCACAGCTAAGCGCACGCGATGTAAGTTGAATCCACGGGGGAGTAGATGCGATGTACGTACGGAATGAATACTGACTTACTGGTATAGTGGCTTTTCTTCATGGTAGGTCATTCGGGGGAGTTATCCTCACTCGTCTTCCTCCTACCATGTTTCCCATGAAACCCTTCGTAGACAGACATGCAGTCGCTGACTTTTCGTGTCCTCTAGTGCGGCTTCTGGGCCTGGACAGCCGATGCTTTCGACTTTCATGCCCTCTCCATCCAAACCGTCAAATTAGCAGCATACTACGATCAATCCAATACCAGCATCACCTCGGCCATCACCCTCACCCTTCTCTTGCGATCTATTGGAGCCGCCGGCTTCGGTCTCGCGGGAGATAGATTTGGCCGCAAATACCCCATGGCCTGCAACATGATAGTCCTAGGCCTTCTCCAGGTCTCAACCATCTACTGCAGGACCTTCCAACAGTTTTTGGCCGTAAGGAGTCTCTTCGGGCTCTTTATGGGCGGTGTCTACGGAAACGCGATTGCGATGTCTCTTGAGCACTGCCCAGTCAATGCCCGAGGCTTGATGTCTGGGATACTGCAGCAAGGCTACGCTCTTGGATACGTGCTAGCTGCATGTGCCAATCTAGGCGTTGGCGGAGGCGTCGAGACGTGGAAGGTTAGTCAATTCCCTCTATCCGTAACGAATCTTGGCTAAAGATTTTTTTTTTTTCTCAATCAAGACCGTCTTCTGGATTGCGGCCGGCGCTTCCATCGGAGTCGGGCTCATCCGTCTCTGCTTTCCCGAGAGCCAGCAGTTCCTCGAGGCCAAGAAGAACGGCACCAAGGACGCCTCCGCCAGCGACTTCTGGAAGGAGACCAAGCTCATGCTGGCCCAGGAGTGGAAGATGTGCGTCTACTGCGTGATCCTGATGACCTGGTTCAACCTCTACAGCCACACCTCGCAGGACTCCTACACGACCTTCATGCGCCAGGCCAAGGGGCTGGACAACGCGGCCGCCAGCCGCGCCTCCATCTGGATGAAGACGGGCGCCTGCGTGGGCGGGACCATCATCGGGTACGTGTCGCAGCTCCTCGGGCGGCGCCGCTCCATGATCTTCTCGGCGCTCATGTCCGGCCTGATGATCCCCGGCTGGATCCTCCCCAGCGGCGAGCGCGCCCTCTCGGCCACGGGCTTCCTGATGCAGTTCTGGGTGCAGGGCGCCTGGGGCGTGATCCCCATCCACCTCAACGAGCTGTCGCCCGCGGCCTACCGCTCCACCTTCCCGGGCCTCACCTACCAGCTCGGGAACATGATCTCGTCGCCGTCCGCCCAGGTCGTCAACCTCCTGGCCGAGCGGATCCACGTGAGCGACGAGGGCGGCCCGCACGTCAAGGCCTACGGCCCCGTCATGGCCATCGCCACTGCTGCCATCGCGCTGGGCATCGCCGTGACGGTCGGCCTCGGTCCCGAGCGACGCGGCCGGAAGTTTGAGAAGGAGCCCATTGCGGGGGCCCGCGTATCCGGACCCGCCAAAGATGTCGAGTACGGGGAAGATGACGAGGAGCATGATGTTCGGAAAGTCACCGTCGAGATGGACGTCATGGAGACGAAGTAATCTGTCTGGCTCGAGCGGTTACTGGTGAACAACCCATATACTATTCGGTGGGGATGGCGCCTGGCGGCTCAGGACCATCCGTTACTTGGCAACGATAGTTCCTTTTGTTATGAAATTTGGTACGGTTTTGATCGCTTTACTCATCTGCTTTTACTTCAACTCCTACTGTAGCTGCGACATATAATGAAAGAGATAGCGAAGAAGGAAAATAGAATATAAGAATAAATTAAAAAACGGGGAAAAAAGAGCAATCCTATCCCGAAGAGCATTGGGGCCGCTTTCTCGCGTAAATTCTAAGCCGTGTCAACAAGCTCAATGCTCGCGTGCATAAACGAATCCTTTAAGCGAGAACCGTGGGTAATGTCGTCATCATCAACAACATCATCAACACATAGAGAGAGCTATCAAGAAGCCTCCATGTCGCGCGCACTTGAAGAAATTCCAGTAGTGAAATGATAGTTGGATGGTTGGTTGGTTGGTTCGGATTTAGGTTCCTGTTAGAACGATCGAGCAACAGCAGCAAAGAACACCAATCTCAACTTCAATTTCAATTTCAAGCCCACCTTCCAAGCATCTCCACCCGACCGAGCAGCCCTAGCTCAGCTTACAAGCGAGCTCATCCAAACATCCCTCTCGTATATAGATACAAGCTTCAGCTTATACAATTTCCTCCTCCAATTCATAATCCCAACAATCCCTAGATATCACCCCTATCACCCACAACGCACAAAATAGCCTCCTCCTCCTCCTCCTCCTCATCGCGATATCAAACCCACCGCCCCACCACCCAGCCTGCTCACCTGCTCACCTCCTCACTTTCCCCTCCCCCTTCTCCCCCGTCCCCTCCTCCTCACACCTAACATCTCCAAGCAACAACTCCCCCTTCTCATCATACCGTCTCGGCTCATTGCGCGCAACCGCCACGACCGCGAAGGCGGACCTCGTCTTCGCGAAGATGGCGTCCATCTCCTCGAGGGAGCGGTAGGCTGTTTCTGGGTAGAAGAAGTAGACGATGGGAAAGATGAATGCGTTGCTGTAGATTGATTTTTGGGTTAGCTTGGCGAGAATGTAAAGAGAAGGGACAAGGAAGGGGTAAGGGAGGTGGAGTGTACATGACGGCGAAGATGACATAGGTTTTGTAGCCGATGGTGCTGAAAGCTACGGGCGTGATCATCACGACCTGGAAGTCTAGTCAGTAGAGTACAGCACAGCACAGAAAGAAAGCGGAAAATGTCGCCTACTTGTCAAACCGGGAGGAAGAAAGGTCAGAGGGGACAATACAAAATACAAAATACAGAATGGAAATAGATGAAATAGGAATAAGATATACCAGAAAGTTGAAAAGCCAGTTCCCCGACGTCGCGAGCGCGTTCGCCGGCGCCCGGATCCGCAGCGGCACAATCTCCGCCGGGTAGAGCCAGGTCATGCCCAGCCAGCCGACGGCGAAGAACGAGTTGAAAACGAACAGGAAGACCGTCTGGCCGACGCCGGCTTTGGCTCCACCCACCGAGTCCGTGACGGCGAGCGCGACCATCGAGAGGGACATGCCCGCCGCGCCGAACAGCATCAGGCTCCGCCTGCCGAAGCGCTCCACCGTGAAGACGGCGACCCAGCTCGCGAGGAAGTACTCGGTGCCGTTGCAGGCCGCGATGAGCTTGGCGCGCGTCGGGCCGAGACCGACCTGGTTCTGCAGCACGTTGGGGATGTAGTAGGTGATGAGGTTGATCCCGGAGATCTGCTGGAACACCTGGTTGACGTAGGCGAGGACGGTGCGGTGGAGGTGGCGGTCCTTGCCCGTGCTGAAGAGGTGACTGAAGCTGCCTCTCTCCATCTCGAGGACCGTGTCCTTGATGGACGTGTACTCGTCGCGGATGTACGCGCTGTCAACCGGCTTGTCGTTGAGCGCGGCAAGGACGTGCATCGCTTGCTCGTCTTTGCCTTTCAGGACGAGCCATCGTGGGCTTTCGGGCATGCTCATTACCAAGCCTTAGACGTGTAAGCCAGTCACTGTCGAGGATCTCAGATGAGTGGGGAGGGGAGGGGAGGGGGGAGGGCTTACCCAAGATGAAAAGGCAAAAGACAATCTGGAACGCAAGCGGAAACCTCCAAGCCACAGGATTGGGATCCAAGAAGTAGAATCCAAAGTCCAACCAGTATGCTATCATGATGCCTCCCGTGATGAGCGCCCCTTCAATCATAACCAGCTGTCCGCGCCGATGCGACCTCGAACATTCAGACTGCCACGTAGGCACAGTCGAGGTATTCAATCCGTTCCCAATCCCCGTGATAATCCTCCCGAGAATAAACTGCACAAGCTGATACGAGCTACATTGAAGGATGGCCCCAACAACCATAATCGACGATCCCAAGAAGATCGTTTTCCGCCGTCCAAGCGGGTTGCCGATGAATATACACAGGATAGCACCTGTGCACAGCATGCATCAGTATAGCGATCGCTTCTACTACCATGAAGGAGCGAAGCAGACTTACCGAGGAAACACCCAACGTTGTAACTCGCGACGGTGATGCCCTGATACGTGGATCGATGGCTGGACTCGGTATCGGTGATCCCATCTTGCATAGGATCGATACCGGGAAACTGCAAGCGGAAGGAATCAAGCGTGAGGAGGCCGCCGGTCACACCTTGGTCGTATCCGAAGAGGAGGAAATCTATGCCGGCAATCACACCGACCGCGATCTGTAGGTTGGCGCCTTTCAGGCCGAAGAACTTCTCGCTTGAGCCAAACATCTTGAAATTTTCCCGAGAACGCTGGATTGTAGGGTAGTTCTTGTCACGATCTCGGCGCCGGTTTTTCGTCGCGCTCACAGAACCAGATATGGTCGCTAACTGTCAAATCCACACCAACGCAAAAAACTGAGGAGAGTGCCAAACAGAATGAGTTTGGCATTCTGTCATATTTTGTATGCTGCGGGAACTCCATTCATGTAAGCATTACTACCGGCTTCAATGATATTACCCCATCTTCTGCCCAGTTTGTGGGGAAGTGCATCTGCGGGGGGGAGGGGGAGGGGGAAGCCTGAGTGGCATTCTGTCGTTCGGAAGATCCATTTAAGTAAATCGAGGCGCGTAGGAGCAAGCCCTTGACACAACTTGCCGATCTGTACCTGAAGAATTCCATGCATCTCGTAAGCTAACAGAGGGGAGCCTGCATTACTTTCGAGCTGGATATGAAAGAGCCAGGATTTGAAGTTCTGGAGTTAGTGTTCAATGTGACATGTCAGACCAAGTACTCTCATGAGTGGAAAATACAAACAAGCTTATCTGGGAACTTGTCTGAAAAACAATCGCTTTGGTCACCCATGGTGACAAGCACTGAGCACTTTCAGAGTTGGTGGTATCCACAGTCCAACTTCATAGACTCATAATGGTGGGCAAGCAAATCATACTGAACCTACCAATCATCAAAATCATAATAGATCCGACCAGATTCACCCAGATTCGGATTCAAGTCCATATGCCAACCCGACAGCATAAGCACATTGGCATGACGACGACGTCAGAAAGGTGGACATCAAATGCGAGATGTCTTTTGAGTCTTGGCTAAAGTGCCGGTTAAGCGAGGTGGCTCAAAGAAGGCCGTTCGGTCGGATTGCTACAAATGGAAGCCCGAGCGCCAGATGGAGATAGGTATGAAAGAAACTTATGCTCATTTTCGTCCCGTGCGAAGGACCTGCGAGAGCCGCGACAGGAATTCGCCGAGCGATCTTCAGATTCCCACAAGATCGACACAGCAGAAGGGACATGTAAACAAATGAGTCCAAGTAACTACAAGGCTTGCTGTATCTTCAACGAGAGTTGTAAAAAAGTTAGACAAATTCGCGTCGGAATAGCTTGAGGGTAGAACAGTATCAATGCTCGAAGTTGAAGGCTGTCACCACACTCGTGGCACCAACTTTTCGGCATCCACTGACTTCAACCACAACAACCGCCACCAAGGTATATGGTATATCGTGGACAAGATCCACACTGGACGATTGCCCTTCATCTCTCTCGACGGACGGAAATGCGTACCCGGCTGATATGGTATCTACTTCATTCCGCTAAAATCGCTGTCCAAAAACCCCTACGAACCTTGGCTGTAGCGCTGTCAGAAATGCACCCAAGCACAACTTCCCCGTCCACATGTACCGGTATCACCCTCCACCCTCTCACAGTTCACCTAGTCCTCTCCGAGACTTTCCCTCACAATCTTCCTACACCTTTTTTTGAACTCCTTGTTTCCTATCTTCTCCTCTCTCCACAATCGCCCGGCCTCGACATTCGCAGGGCTCTCGTCGTTCGGGCTATGGAGCAGACTGATGACACTCAGCAGTATCGTTTCTGGCGTCTGGACAGGTGACCATCGTTCCGCCGCGCTCTCGTAACCATATTGATCCTCCCCGGGTGGATGCAGGATCGAGATGCAGAGACGGCCGTCTTCATACACGTTGGGGTGGAAGGGAATTGGTGTCTTAAAGACGAGTGATGGCGGGAGATGGGGGTATTCTTTGGGGAAGGTGAGATGGCTGCGGAAATTGCCTCCTATGTTGTAGTTATTAGTGATTGGTTCTCAAAGATGCTGGAATGGTAGGGCTTCAAAAGAGGAATAGGTACCTCCGTAGTATTTGCAGTCGTCTGATATCATGAGCATTACCTCCCACTCGAAGACATTGCTGTTTACTAGCCCACACGATATTCCTGGTAGGTCCTTTGCGGTTTGCATGTATTTGAGTTGGCGAGCAAGGAGCCCGGCGGCTCCGGAGGGTTGAGCCATTGTTATGTAGGCAAGTTTAATAAGCAGATGTATTCGCCAGGTGCGACTGCTATGGGTTGTAAAGTCGAGGAAGTGAGGGATACGGAGGACTAGGTGCGGCTCGAGGGGGTGTGAATGGAGGTTGGTAAGGGATGTTTGGATGTGAATGGTGTGTCTGGTCTGGGACTCGGGAGGAAGAGGTTAGCTGGGAGGTATAGCTATAGCTATAGGGATAGCTATAGGTATAGCTGTAGCTGTAGCTGTAACCGGGGCAAAGCGAAGCCTCGAGCGGCAGACATTCACCGAGGGGTCGGAAGTCGCGATCAATCGGCGTGAAGACTCGAGAAGCGCAGGTACAGAGAGACTTGATCTGCCGTGAGATATCGAGGAGCGTGTATAGCAACAAAGAGCAATGCGACAGTGTTTCGTATCCGAAAAGAGAGTTTGTTCTTGGGGTTTATGGGTTTAAAGGGGGTTTAGGGGTCGCACAATTGCGTCCGGGTGTCTCGTCTCGTGGTTGATGGAACCACGAGGCAAGATGGCGGGGCTGCTCCGTCGTCGGCCTTGGCGAATGCTGCCGACGACAACAACAAACAATTCCCAACAAGATTAATGGCTTTGTAATTTCCTTTTCATGTGCTGTTACCGGTATTCTTGATAATGTGCACATGTCATCTTACCTGCACACCATAAAGAGCCTGCCTTACGCTGGCTATTAATAACAAGCTCATCAATGAGCGATAAAGATCTCGTACCTATCACTATAGCGCCTATTCCGCTGTCAGGCCAGCGACGGAAGTCAATAACTACTATCAGTAATATAGTATTGCTGGCTCAAGCTGACTCCAGAAAGAGTTAGGCTATGAAAGTATCTCAAGGAGAAGTTGACGGCCCGGCCAGGTGCATGCCACACAGTACATTTTCGATTTTCGAAGGAGGAATTCGCGGATAAGGCGCAACGGGAAAGTATCGAGGTTCCGGAGTTTGTCTTTCGTAAGATAGACTTTATACAGCCCGGCGGCATAGAGAGCTGAGCCTGTCATCTCGTGCATTCTATCGAAGAGTCTCCCAAAATATACACAGTCATCTCGCTTCGTCTTACTATCCCTCCTGCGGTGAGATTTCGTCTGAAGTGTAACCCCAGGTATCCTTGCAAAGAAAGTTGGTTCGTGGATATGGATTGGTAAATGCAAATGAGGCCCCCTCGACGCAAGTCGGATACCCGATTCCATAACCCTAAGACCAGGTACGAAGCCCGTCACTTCGTGACTAATTTCGATTGATTTCTGATAGGTTAGGAATATCATGGCAGTCTCCCAGGACTCCGAGGTTCGTGGCAACGGGTACCTACCTACCTACCTGACGCATCACAGATCTTAGCAACAACCTATAAGATACCACTACTGTGCCATCAATAAAAAGACAGCAGAAAAGGAAGCCGGTTCAACACGAGAGCTGTCCTATCGTATTTTCAGGACTCCATATACTTCTCTTTATTATTATCGCTGAGCTGAGTTTGAAGCCAACGCTCCTTAACTAAACAGTCTTCGGCATATCAGCGGTCATGCTTTAGTAATTTTTGTTCCCTTTGTTCTTTCCTTCCTAGTATTCGGATCCCGACTACCGATTAGTACTACTAACAAGCAGAGAAAGGTCTAAATCTTCAACGTCTGTCCTGAGCTGAAGACGACTGGTCTTCCCTCATCAGATATCGGCACTCTAAAAGGATTACGGTGCAGAGCGAATCACCGAAGCATTTTTTAAGCGCTATATATTTTCTCTATTAACTTCAATCAAATTCTGCTGTGTTAACGTTTAGTAAAAGCCTCAGGCCCGGGCTGGGCATCGATAAATCTGCACATAGCGGCGGCTCTCGAGACAAAGGTTGAGAATCGGTACTGCTTCTGCGTCGATAAAACCACTCATGTGTAGTACGAATTAACTCCGATATCATAAAAACGCATAAGAAGGCTTTCAGATCAGCTACTTGCGAGAGATAATCAAGTGAGACAGAAAAGTGATGGGCAAGATGCGCCTTTACATTTCCTCTAGAGGGCTCGCTTAATTTCGCGTAGATAAAAAAAAAAACCCCCATATCACATCGGCTGGGAAAAACTTGCCCACATATGTATATATGTATACATATGCATACTCATTATCTCACAGACTAGAAGTGCAAGTATATATATATATACATACTTGTAGCCACGATTCTATGCTAATTATCACTCGAATAAATTAAGTCAGGTATTAGCTCTTGCAGTATTAAACTGTAGAACTTGCACCCATCGCCGTGTGAAAACTAAGGGTAGATAGATTCTAAAGCACCAATCCACTGTCCTAAAAGCGAATATCAATCAAAGTCAGGTACCTGGCTTTAACACCACGTATCTTTCGCAGCCAGCTGTCCGAAAACGAAAACCAAAAAACAGGCTTAGGAACTTGGTAACGTAACAACCTCAATCAATCCCCGATGTTCCCCCTCCCGTGAAAGAGAGACTGCCGCTCTCTACCGGAGTCGACTCTCTATCTGATAATACTCTTCTGCCTGTATTTTTGATAGTGCACGTTTACAAAACCAGCTGAGAAGCTCAAATGCCACGGGACGAGTCGGAGCGTCGTCATCGCGAGCGCATTAAGAGAAGCAGTACGTCTATCTGTATGCTTGAAATTACGTTGTAAACCCTGCGCCTGATCTTATACAGAAGGGGAACTGAGACAAGTACACGTAATCCCTCCCTCTGTAGGAAGAATCGAAAGGATCAAAGTCGGCCAGCGCTCTCTCTTTCCATCTCTTTCTCTCTCGTGACGCAGAAACTTAAACTGCCCCCATTCTTTTCGTTTCAGCTGGCCGATCCGCGATGGTGGTCGTTATTTCCCATTATGAATCCGCACTTGAAGAGGGTATAATGGAGACGGTCACCATGGTGTATACACAGGGCCGCAGGTGCCGCAAGGACAGCTGGATACATCGCGCTGAAGGAGGCTATGAGGAAGCTACTGTTACTATGGATTGAATGCCTACGGGGCAGCTGGCTGGATCGCCCTGAAATAAGCTACTACGGTATTAAAAGTACCATTCCGCGAGGTCCGGAAAACTTACTCCGTAGCTTGCGGAGGGCCGGAAGTTTTAGCTTGCGGCCGGGCTGCGGCCTAGAATTATACCGATTAAATCGAAGTCGGGAAAATAAATTGATATCTTTACTGTACACAACTTCACATTGTGTTTCCTATGCAAAAGTGATGTAGGTTAGCGTCGATGTTCAAAGACTCGGAAGGCAGCCATATCATACCCGCGACGGTTGCGAAGCGAGAGCCCCTGAGCTTGCGGAGGGCCGCCAGGGGAAAGACCTCTCGTTGCGAAGCAATTTGCCCGTCGGCGAATCGTCTTGTCGGCGTATTGCATGCTTCGAGGCGTCTGTAACACATAATGTCCCTCTCAACTTCCCAACAGCATATCATGAAGCATACACCCCGCCTTTTCTCTCCGGCATGGGTCCGGTCCAAGTGCCGCGAGCCAGCACGGTCGCGGAGGTGACGATATAATGTGGGTACACGACAGATCATCGGCCGTGCAACTGCAGCGGCACGAGTCGAGCCGTAGAAAATGCCGGACTATCAAAGCCTTTCAGTATGCATGCATGCTCGGGACGGCGGGAAAATCAAGTCTGTGGGACGGCGGGAAGTAATTCAAATTTGCGAGACGGCGAGAGAGTTTTCAAGAGATGTGAGGCGGGCCGCGGAAGAGAGTTTGGTCACGATGCATCTGTCCCCTTTCTTGTACGGTAGTAAGTAAGACGGTACAAACCTACCGGTACTCACCCCAACGTCCCTGGGATAAGCGTCGCAAGCAGCACTTTGGTAGAGTTCAACACACGAGCTGAGAGGGCCGAAGGGGAAGGGGGTTGTCGTGAGTATCTCCGTAGTAGTAGTACGTGCTGCCATATAATATCCGAGGGCGTCGAGCCTTTCCTCCGCGGACCTGACCGCTGCGGGCTTGGAAGACTTTGGATTCGCGGTCAAAGTATCCGTACGTAAGCACGTACTACTGTACGTACTACAAGTACTACTAGTACTAGTAGAATACGTAGTACATTTCGGACCCAGTTTAGGCCCATAAATCATAGAGCGGTGGTTTCTTAATGGGTCAAAGCCCTGTCAACTCCACTGTATAGACTAAATACTGGCTCAAAGATACTTTTCAAGGTTGAATCCTTAGAAGTTGATTGGTTTAAGCCCTGGTAAGATCCCTTGCGAAATTATACTTTCGACATGTATTCATGGGGGGGAGAGTAATGTACTACTACCGAACTTCATTGACCAGCAACCCCCCCGATTTGTTACTCGTCAATCCCGCTAAGCGAGCTACTGGCGGCAGGGTAAACAGACCAGGCGGGACGTTCGCCTGGGCCCAGATCAGGCCCGTGGCCCCGAGCTGTGCTGTGCGGTGGTCCCTGTGTTACCCGCTATCTGAACGCTGGTGCTTCTCTGGCACCTGCACTGCATGGTGGCTTAGGATCTTTCTCCGGGGTCCCAATACTCTGTCACTGTGCCTGGGAAGAAAGGAAAGAAAGAAATTGTTCAGCATCGTGAGTTGACCCTTCTCACCCGTGGTAGAGGTCAACATAGAAGTAATAAGGCCTTCCCTTCCTACCGTTCCTATGCTGAGGCCCAGTCTGCAGGCAACCGAGACTGGGCATACCTATATCAATCGATCATTTGATCAATCAGCTTCAGATCTCAGTTGTGGCGTTCTGCGCACTTCCCCCCTATCACCTCATCACGTCCGACCCGTCTCTACCTTATCACATGAACCAGGGTCGCGATATAAATAAATAGTAGTACTTAAACCGATTGTCTACCCACCGCCCCAGCGTTGAGATGGTCCCAGCTACTTCGACAATGGGGATTCGTTGCCAGCATTGTGCTCTCGAGGTTACGAAGCTCGGATTCGACGCTGGACGTTGACCGCGACGACGTACAAGCATGCGTCCACGGCAGCACCGACATTGTAGCTCAATATCCACGTCGGCATGCCGAACAATACGGCCTGCAGTCCGTTCGGCAACTGCACTATTATCGACGGCGTGAGGACCAACGGGACAATCTTCACGCCCCCATACGATGCGACCTACCCCGTGCCACACTGGCACCAGAATATGGAGCTCGCGACCATCTGCGTCTTCAATTCACTTTCGCGTAAGACGCACCAGCACCAGCACCAGCACCAGCCCTTGGACGATGTTTCGGCTTGATGGGCCGTATTGATTGAGGGATGATCTGCAGCTGACGAGACCCAGTTATTGTGATTGCTGCGAGGCTACTTTATCGACGGAAGAAGTTCAACATGTTGAAAGGGGATGATATATGGATGGCCATCGCAGGAGTATGTATCGCCGTCTACAAGAACCGAGCTGGTACTGATAGATGCTAGCTACTCCTGATCGGTCTCTACGCCAGTCAATTAGGAGCTGTGAGATTCGGAAGCGGGCTACACATGCAGAATGTACCGCATTACTGGAGGGAGATGCATTGGCATGTATGTGTTCGCGAAGTTCAAAGTTGGTTGAGAACAGCAACTTACTCACAACTATAGTTTCAAACCGGCTTCTCAGCGTACTATCTCGTTGTTTCATGCATCAAGCTGTCCGTCTGCTTCTGTTTTCTCCAGATCTGTAGGCACCTCTCCGTCCATCGTTGCGAGACCATGTACTTACAGCCTTCCTAGTAACCCACAACCTCAAGGGCCTGCGATATTGTGTGTACGGCTTGTGTGTCGTTACTGGCAGTCTGGGACTCGTGTGCGCCATCCCATGGAATTTCGGCTGCCAACCCTTCCTGTCCAATTTCTACTGGAGCGTGACTTCAGAATCGTGCATCAACTATGATATATTCCGGTGGCGTAAGCAACCCGAGTCCTGCCCGTGCCCATCTCGCTCTGGCGACAAGCTGACAATGTTCCTCCTCTCCTCCCAGTTTGGATCAGCGTATCGGTACCCATCGACATAGCCATCATGAGCGTCCCCCTCCGAATCCTGAACCGGGTCCGACTCCGCGCCGTCGAGAAGAGGATCCTGCAGATGGTCTTCTGCGCCACCTTGCTGGGCACGATCTGCTGCATCATCGGCATCTACGGCTCTTACAAGACCCGCACCGTCGAGTCCCAACAGCTCTTCTACAACGAAACCCCCTTTATCATGATGAATGACATTGAAATCTTCGCTTACACCCTCGGCGCATCGTTCCCAGGTACGTACTTTCATACATCCACACATATCCCCCTCCCCCTCCCCCAAACACCTACCTGCCTACCTACCTGCCTACCTTTCTAACATGCCACCAAAAAACAGTCCTCTCCGGCTACATCGTCACCAAAGCCGACCGCCCCAACCCCCCCTGCTCCAACTTCACCTCCTGGGCGCGCTACGTCCCAGACCTCTTCCTCTCCTCCCCCCTCAACATCAACCTCCCCAGCCGCACCGCCACAACCACCACCATGTGCGCGCCCACCAAGCACCCACCCATCAAGTACCCGACCGGGCACCCGCAGCCGTCGTCGTCGTCCAACGAGCGCGACGACCTCCCGCTCTCCGCGTCCACGCTGTGCAATTCAGGAGCCGGCAGCAGTCTGAGCAGCTGCGGGGGCAACGTCGACCTCGAGAAACATGCAGCCCAGGATGCATAAGCGGAAGCGGAAGCGATCAGGAAGGGGGCTGTGCATGTGCATGTGCGGACCGAGGTTTTTAACGAGCGAGAGGACTCCGGGGGGAATTGGAGCAGCTCGCTCCAGGAGCTTCTGAAGGGTTCGCAGAATGGGAGTGGTGGTCGTGGATCGTGATGACGATTCGTGTGTTTAAGCGATGTGTGATGTTCCATCTATCTGAGCGAAGGCGTTCCACGGCGTTTTCATCACGAGTCGGGGCGGGCGCTAGGTATATATATACAACGTGGAGGTTCAGTCTGGTCTGGCCTAAAGTACATATTTCATTCACATCTATCTCAGCCTATTCAACTTACTAATATGTATATATCTTCTCGAACGATAGAAAATTTTAAAAATAGTTGGCCAAAGACTAACTGCCTACCTATACTTACTCAACAAAACGACGAGAAGAAAAAGAGTCGGAAAGCCAAAGTCAAAGCCGAAGCCAAAGCCATCTCCATACCCATACCTTAAAGCCATACGCTCCATTCCCATTCCCCAAACTACAACAACACAACCTAGAGCTACAGAACTACAGGAGCCCATATCTCGAACATCCCATCCCATCTCCTCCTCCTCATCCTCCTCCTCTTCCTCATCTCGTCTTCCCCGTCTCCTCAACCAGTACCCAAATCAATGCACCCCAATTCTCTATCAACACCTAGAATCCTCTTAACCACCACTCATCCAACCTCACCAAACCCCATCCTTCCAACCTCATAAGTCCACCCTTCCAAAGCCAAAAGCCACCCCCTCAATCGATGAACAACGCCCAAGTATCATTCGTTCGTTCCCTCCTTCCTTCCTTCCTCCCCCCCCATCCCGCCCCCCCCTTCCCTCCCTCTCGTCCTCCCTCAACGACTTTTCATTTTCATTTTCATTTCCATTTTTCGTTCTCGACAACACAGCACAAACACAGTACAGCACAACACCCAACCACAAACCCAACCACAAACCCAACACACAACACCCAACCGAAAACACATCTCGATCAGCGAACCAAGAAATGTCCCCCCTCCCTCCCCCTCCTAAAAAAAAAAAAAAAAAAAAAAAAACCAAAAACCCATCGAGAGAAAAAGAAGAGAGACGGAAAAATTTACACACACACACAAACACACAAACACACACACACACACAAGTGAGCGGACTAGTAAATAAATAAATAAATAAATAAATAAATAAATGAGTGAGGGTGGCCTTGCGAAACCAGCAGTACTGTATGTAACCTGGCCTTGCCCGCTTATCTTACCTACCTACCTTAGCGGAGCAAGCCGAGATTCTAGAACCGTGTAGCGGACCGTGTAGCAGGTCTACACGGTTGGCCACTATCCTTCAAAACAGCTCGGTTGATAGATTTTAAACCGTGTAAAAGTTTTAGACCGTGTAGATATTTTTAGACCGTGTAGATATTTTTAGACCGTGTAGAAGGACTTAAGCGAGGGCTGCGCTTAAAAGGATAATCCGGGCGGGGTCACTGGTGTGGCTGTGCGCTAAGCCACTACATCTAAGGAGGCAAGTCTGAATTCAATTGGTGAAGGCTATTTATTACCACTTCTACTTCTGCTAAACAGCCACCTCTTCTACCTTTACTTTTGCTAGACTGCCACCTTCACTTTAACGTTCTCTTTTAGACCCTTTGTAATTTTCCAGCTTATGAAATGATGTTGGTGATATCGGACCGTAAGGTTGGAAAGAGAAGGAGCTTAAAGCGCGTCTATCACTATAAACAATTGATTAGTATGCGTAGCAAACAAAAGGAATAAAAAGAAAAGGGGAGGGGAGGGGGGGGGGGGGGGGAGTGGCTGGTTTGCTTTATTATTCGGCCAATCCATATTCGAAGGAATAGTCCTTGCAGATGAGCAGACCGCAGATGAGCAGACCGAAGGACGGACCGAAGGAGAAAGGACCGAAGAAGAGATCACTTGCTTTTTCGATACTAGCACGTTAGAATAGATTAGTATTCGTAGCAGATGAAGGTGAAAGAGGATAAGGTGGTTAAAAGTTAAAAGGTGACGCGCTTAATAGTTGTAATAGTTATAATAGTTAAAGTTTTATTAAGAACGCGAAGTTTAAATATATTCAGCTGTGCGCGGCAGAATTGAATTAGTATATCGGAGTTAAGGGTTATTAAAAGGCGGTCTATGCGGTCGCCTTCGCTAACGGTTTCTACACGGTTTAAAATTTCTACACGATCACTGCACGGCTTAAGGCTGCTACATGGCTCGCTATACGGCCTAAGGCTGCTATACGGTCAGCTATACGATTCTAGAATCCCGGCTTGCTCCGCTAAGGTACCTACCTACCTACCTTCCTACCTACCTTCCCTGCCTTCTCATCTGCTAGCTAGCCGTTCCCACGTTCTCCTTACCTACGTGTATCGATCGCGCTTATTAGGTAGAGGGAAAGGGAAAGGGAAGAAGGAAAAGAAGGAAAAGGAAAAGAAAAAAAAAAAAAAAAATTAGGCCAGGATAACTTTCGCGTCAAGCTGACCCTTTTTTTGGTTTTACCACATCGCGTGATCCATCACCGCCGCAGCGGTTGGACTGTGTTGGGAACACTTTTATGCTGTCCGTCATTTTACAACTAGTCGGATCGCATCCAGACCATTTTTCAGCTACCAAAAAAGCTATGCTCCATAACAAAGGAGAAAGAAGAGCAGTTTCGCTGGGTCTAGCCGTAGCCAGAGTCGTGGGAGCCGTGGGAGCCGCGGCTCAGATACCTACACACCACATGAGGTATAATACATCTAAATGAACCCGTCCTGATCATCAATCCACCATCGTCACCTCTGTTTCTCCTCATTCGTTCTTCTCTTTCTCCGCAGGCTCCTTGGCTTGTTCAGCTTTCGCTTCGGCATCTTTCCGTTTGCCCTCCCGGTATTTTGCCATCTTCTCACTCATATACCTCCACGACCTCCCAATCCCAGAAGTCAAAATACCCTTCAAACTCTGACTCGTACTCGGCCACCCAATCGTTTTCTTGATCACATATCTGATCTCCTCTCTCAAATCCTCCGGCGGCTCGTTCGCAATCTTCTGTTCGAATCCTCCTCCTTGCCGCCTATTGATCCTGGTGGAATTCTCGTCGCTTGCCGCTTCTAGCATCTGGTTGAATTCTGACCGCGGAATCTGGTATTTCTCTTGATATTGGAAATACAGCTTTGACCTGAAATCTTTGGGGAGGCGGCGGACCATGTTACCTCGTTTAACTGGGTCCATGTCCTGGGCGAGGCAGACGTTTGCGGTTTCGTCGGCCGCCCAGTCTGGATCTGAGCATCTCGGGTCGTCGAAGCTCACGTTAGGCAGATTTTCGATAAGAGGTGAGTATAGTCGTCGGAAATGGGGGAGGTTGTTTCCGACAATGTTTGCGACTTTGGATTTATCTTCGGTCGGGAACGCCATGCGAGGATCTCCCATGTAGCTGATATTGGCTATCACTCCATACAGTTCCAGCTCCGTAAAATTGGGTGGGAGAAGTAAAAGTGCTGTTCGCAGCGCCGATAACAGGTTAACTTGATTGGCGAGACGAACTCGAGGGTCATCGCGTAGGATTTTGACTGGTTTCTGCAATCGCCCTGCAAGATACAATGTCGTCCACTCCGAGAGATCGGTACAGAGTGTGTCTAGATTCACCACCCCGTACTTTATCAGAGTCCCATTGACCGTCACGAATGGGTTGAAGTACACTCCTGCTCCCCACTTGTCCTGCACCGCAGATACTGCGCCTGAGCCGAGCGATCCTAAGGCTGAGTAGTGGTCTCGGTGTTGATTGAGATTCAAGGAATGCCAATGCTCGGTATACGACACACCGAAGATAAAATCGATCATTTTTGGAGTCCCACCCTGTTGTTTAGTGACGGCAGGAGGAGGCTTCGAGTGGATGGAGGTTGTCGTCGAAGATGTGCCTGTCTGTACTGCGAAATCAGTCTTAGACTCGGATACGTTTTCAGATGCTTTCAGTTTGACCAGCTGGATCATGCCGTTTCCCAAGAATGATCATCGGAACAGACTCTCAACAATCTACGGATTCTCCGACATGGTACTCAATATGGAGATTTTGTGCTCTACAGAACGCCCCTCCGGAGAATAGGGCGCCCTTGAACCTCAAAATACACATGTTTTCAATGTACGCAGGGGCGCTTGCCTCTACTGCCCACGCAGATCCCCAATTTGCAGACCGATGGTCATTGCACAGCGCGCTCTCCCCCCCCCCCTCAAACCATTGGAATGGGACTTTCGTACCTGTCTTGACTGTGGAAACACCCCCGACCCATAAGCAAACGCATATCGTATAGGCGCCCTGAATTTCCATAGAATCTGCCTCAAGGCCTCTTTGAACTCGTCGTTTATTATAATATGCTGATTTACGCCAAAATTGGTGTGTGGTAGCTCCGAGAAGTGAGAAATGTTGAAATTCGGGTTATCCTCCCAGTCGGCCGACGGGGAGCTTGTGTTGGAGGGGGAGCCTTTAGAAGAAGCTGAATCGGAGGCATGTTCTTTGATCGACTGTTCCTGGGAGCTGGATTCTTTTGGCGTTTGCGATGCGAAGGATCGGCTGATCGAGCCCGGAACTGGACGGATAGAGCGGTATCGAGCTGATCGAAGCCCCGAGGCTTGATGCCATGTTCCCAGAGGCCTTAAAGAAACCTGTGCAGCAAGCTATTAACGGAGGAATATGGAAGGTGATTCGTGTCCGTTTGCTCACGTAAAGGTGCCTGGAAGCCATCGTGCCGAGCGATAGTGGAAGCCGAAGCTCCGCAGAAGAATGTAATCAAAGATGTGTGTGCAGCAGATGCTGCAAAAATGCTACCGCGCGTTCGACATTGGTCCGTGGTGTTGTTGACGTTGAAGCCGAAGCTGGTGATGCTTCCTGCGTGTTTGGAGCTCACCGAATTCAATTCGACCCCACGCCACGCCGTCATCGGTTAGCGCCGGGACGTAGCCGGGCCGGATCCAGGTACGGAATGGGAAGTACGAAAGCACTGGCGCTAACCAATTAGCCTTGAAGGCCCTCCCATCTCGTCCTCGAAAAAAAGAACGAGAATTAAAGTTGTCACATCACTGTTTAGAGAGATAAAATTGTACAAGATTAAACCCGGTCAAGACCATATCGAACACATATCGAGGTGTTAGTTTAGCCGATACCTTGAAGTAAGTAAATTTAAAAGACCATGTCAGCAATCACGAGAACTAATCCATTTCCTCTTCCACGTATCTCCCTCCCTCAAACTTCGTAGACCAAAGAACGTGTTAGGTAATTACACTGTAAAGGACCAAAACTTAGAAACTTATGTGCCAGGAAATCTTTTTAGTGCAGGTCCACTTAGCATCTCACCCACTTCATCGGCTTTTGAAAACAAGCCGGCAAAGTGTTCTGGCTAACCCAAAGATATATGAAAAGTTACTTGGTCTTCAGACATCAAGAGTTTTCCACCACTTGACCGGAAATCCAGGCGCCTTTCGCTGCTGTATTCCATCCTCCAAGTCAGTTAAGAAGTCAATAATTGACATGACGAGACTCGCCACCTACTATTGCAAAGCCTAAATGAAAACCAACAAAGCTCGGTTGCGTATGTTTACTGAGTCGTCCACTGCCGTATGAACAGGAAGGCCGAGTGAGGCTTGGTTATCAACTGTTCTGTTGCATATCGCCATCTTCTTTGCTTACCTCGGCAATAAGCGAGTTCATCCCAAGTTAGCGAGCGAACTTGGAAAGCACGTCGTTACCGAAATCCTGACTTCATAATGACCACAAGACCTCTCACCACCCCTCTCTTCAAAACAAAACCATGTCATCCATGCTGCCATTCTACTGCGCAAAGTCTCAAGAAAGTTAAACCACGTAGATAAATCAAGGATAAGATAAAGTAAGTGTCAGCACGTACATATCTGATTTTCTGATGCACCAGTCAGTCAGAGAGAGACCTGATATTCCCAAGACAGACATGAAGCTGAGATAAATCCAACATCGCTGACCAGCTCAACTTTGCCTTTTCTTCTTCTTATTGCGGCAGTTGAACCGCTGCGCAACATCCGATGCTACAGATCCCGTATACACGGCTCTGTTGCTCAACTCGTGCAAGTGACTAGTAGATTCACGCCGGACCAAAGCCTTTTCGTTCGTTCACACCATTATAGATATATTTCCCTACCTGCCTTCTCGTAGTATGTTCTGTGACCAATATTCAGACTTCCTCCGCCCAGTAGCACTAATGTCCTGAGGCATAAAGGTCATTACCGCTTGCGATGTGCCAATATGCCACGAGCCCGAAACCTCTTCTTCGGTATAGTGATGCGAGCATGCAACGAGGCAAAGATGCGAGGCACCATAGTAGCGACCTATCACCGTCCTATAATCATGTACTCTGCAATTAACAATCCCAATACCTGGATCAAGCCGTAAACAATCATAAGGGAGATATCACAGCTGAAAAGGGGACGGAGGGGAGATGCGATGCGCAGGAGAAGAGCAAGCTGATGATGGATGGCTCTCGGATATTGGGGGAGATGGCGGAGAGAGGGTGAAAGAGTGCGGTAGGTGGCAAGTGGCAAGTGGCGTGTGTGAAGGTGGGGATGCGGCCAAATGTCGACTTTTCAAGTGTTGAATCGGGGAGATGCTCGGATATGGCAGTTAGTTTTCAGACAGATGTTGAAGAGTGATGGGAGGGAGGTGGTGGATCGTGGTTGTTATGCTGGGGATTTCTCATCTCGGTTGAGATGCAGATGGAGCGATATTCTTTATCAGCTGCTTTATGGTCTTTGGGCAGGAAGGAAGATTGATTCTCTGATCGAGATCCTGACGATCCATAGCGCTGAGAGGGCGGGCGTAGACTGAGATGCTTGGTATCCCGGATATTCTCTATCCACTTGATCAGCTAGAGGACTGGGATTATCGGGAAGTGAATGTGGATGACGGCAGTTAGCATGAGGGTCTCGGAGATGCGTATAAGAACTATGGGGTTGGAAAGAATGAAGGTTGTGTGGTTGTTTTGAGGCCGGATGTTGCGTGGGTTGGTGCTTTGGAGGATGTGGATGCCATGGACCAGTTTTTCTCGGCCTCTATAATTGCAACGCTATAGAGTGGGAGTTGCTATCATGGAGGCTTGTGAGTTCAATATACCATATTACAAATTCAATCAAATATATGTATGGTCTTTCTCTTATAAATCAGACGCGTCAGGGTTTCGCATTACCCATCTGCACCCGGCTCGGCTCAGTCAGGGGCTCGCTTGCATCTCGCTCTGGCATTTGCTTTGTTGACATACTAGTACGTACGTACCGGTACCGGTAGTACCTACTTATCCATCCGCTCTCCAATACATTCGCGCCGATTCGTAACCCGCTTTGCCTAGGACCTTGTTCTACTGTAAGTATTACAAACTCAGAAGCTCGCACTACCGCATCCCACACCGCACCCACATACGTAGTACCTACCAAGTATGCCCAACATCGTTATTCAGCCAATGCAACGCTCGTGCATATTGATCGGGTAGCACACTAAGCAATACTAATCATCCCACAGGCCCCAATGCCGAATCACAGTCACAGCTTAGCTAAGGATGGCATAGGATCCCCGCACCCTCGTAAGGTTTTGAGCCAATGATATTCTCGAAGATGGAGCCATATCCCGGGGTAGCTTCAGCCTTCCACTACCCCGCCCTTACTTCCTATACTGTAGTACCGGTACCGGTACTACTACGTAAAGCTCTCTAAACCCTACTCTCCGCTTTCCAGCCGTTAACCAAGCCGCAAGTCTCTGGCCTCTGGCCCCTCTGAATCAAGCTACAAGTGCTTACGCTACCCGGGGCCAGTCGTGCAGCCGTCGACCCCTCGGAACAGGGGTCATATAGGGCGGCAAGATCCTGCACGACATCACGCCTTATAGACAAGCTGTTCTGCTACCTTTATCCGCTTCCTGTTTCTCTCTCTCTATATCTCTCTCATCTCTCTCTCTATCTCTCTATCTCTCTCTCCATCCTCTCATATATTTCCACTGCTTGTCTCCCTCTCTCTTCTCTGCATATACCCGTCCGCAAGCACAATGTCTACCACGAACGGAACAACCAACGGCCATGGGCTCGCGCCCGTTGCAACAGACTCCCGCTTCGACCCTCTCTTCACCCAACATGTTATCAATGCCACCGGCCCCAAGGCCACGCCGCGCATGCGCAAAGTGATGGGCAGCTTGATCAAGCATGTGCACGACTTCGCTCGGGAGAACGAGCTCACGGTTGATGAGTGGATGGCGGGCGTCGAGATGATGAACTGGGCCGGCCGGATGAGCAACGACAAGAGGAACGAGGGACAGTTGATATGTGATGTTATCGGGCTGGAATCGTATGTGACGAGAGGAATTCTCCCTCTCCCTTTTGCGTATGGTTGGCTGATTGTATGGCAGACTCGTTGACGAGATAACGTTCAAGCTCGCCGCCGAAACCAACGACGCCGCCACCGCGTCCGCGATCCTGGGCCCCTTCTTCCGCCACGACGCGCCTATCCTTGCCAACGAGTCGTCCATCGTGCAAGATTTTCCCGAGGATGGACAGATGGTGTACATGCACGGCATTGCCACGGACTCGGTGACGAAGAAGCCTGTGCCGGGCGTGTGGATCGATGCGTGGCAAGCGAGCACGAACGGACTGTACGAGCAGCAGGACGACAACCAAAAGGATTGCAATCTGCGTGGTAAATTCCAGACGGATGAGAATGGGTATTATGCGTTCTACTGTTTGCGACCAACACCGTACCCGGTGCCAAACGATGGTAGGTCCCCCTCTCCCCACAACTCTGGGCATGGCAATAGCGGGGTAATTTCATAGCAGGGTAAAGTGTAAACAAACTGACGCGATATGTCTCAGGTCCCGCCGGCAAACTCCTCGAACTCCTTGACAGACATCCTTTCCGTCCAGCGCACATCCATCTGATCGTAAGTTCCTCCAGCTTTCTCCCTCAACTTTTTCCGGACAGTCATGATCTTGGATCCCCCTTACTTGTTTGTATATATGTATTTATCTCACAAATCTCCCAGGCCCAAAGAGAGGGCTACAAGCCCGTCACAACCCAGATCTTCGACAAGGATGATCCTTACCTCGAGAACGACTCGGTGTTCGCAGTGAAGGACACGCTGATTGTGCATTTCAAAGAGCTGAAGGGCAACCCGAAAGCCTCGCTGGAGCTGGATTACCCCATTGTCATCGTGCCGCAGGGACAGAAGTCATGAGTAAAGCTGAAGAAGAGGAGGAGCGGTCAAGAGCATGATTATCATGCATGCCTGCAATTTTGCCTGAAGTTATGATGTACACAGACGGTTGATAGCTCTGATGACCTCGATAATTGATGTCAGCATTTCCAACCGATATTTTCAAAGTCTCTTTTTAGGCTTCTAGCTTAAGCCTTGGGCTTTTTTCGGCATTGCTTACCAATACCTAAGAGTTACGGTAGTACTATATTTTCTCGTCAGGCGACAGACAGGCAGGAGGGAGAATTCGCCCCTTATCCGATCGATAAGAGCGTCGTCGGATGCCGCACAGAACCTTCACGCAAGCAACGCATCTTGAGATCAAGGGCGCTGCTTTAACGGCTCTTTTCTGCTCTGGAAGAGTAATCATTCCTTTGATCCTCTTTTCTTTTTTCTTTTCGAGAAGTGGAGTCTGTATATATTTTAATTTTGGGGAAAGCTGCTTTATTGAATACTAATGATACTTCTCCCATGGCTAGGGCCGGCGGTGAGTGTGTAAACAAACTTAATCAGCGTCTGTTAATTTCTGACCTTTTTTTGGATAGGAGAGGGCAGGTGTTGTGTGTTGTGAATATTGTGAACATTGTGAATAGTTAGTTGATTCACGTTCTACACTGCTAGAAAGAGAGATCAGGAAGACGGAGCAACGGAGTTTCTGATTGAAATGTAGCAGAGGGAAGAGGAAATCATCACGTGGTTTCGCAAAGAGTCGTGAAAATTGGGATTAATGGTTTGGTAAAGGGAAGATTGTTGTGATCGATGTAATCTCAGCAGCGCAACTCCCGGGACGGTTCCCCTCTGTACGGATACAGGGCGGGGGTGGGCTGGCCGTCTCCGGCCCAAGGGCGTCTGCCCCTCCTCCAACATTCTTCTTTCTTTTACTGTAGGCCTATCGAAACCAGATCTCGTCCCCAGGCTAATAGTAATCACTGCTGACAAACTGCCTTCACTCTCCAGCGAGCAGCAATGCATAAGGTACTATTGCATCTGAATAACACTGCTGTCACAGACCTCCCTTCTCTCACTCTTGCTGTCAACCTTTAATTCCATCACGCACTATCTGAACTCTACTGTCATTCTCCAATCTGGCAAGTTGAATGCAATCCCAGATAGATGCTATTGAAAGATCTCAACTTCTATGTATCATCTGATCTGATGAGTTTGGTGTATAGACTGACAAACATTACCTATCTAAATATATACACTGCCACGAAGTTCGCTCTTCTTATTGGAGGTCACGCTTTAGGGGGGGGGGCAGAAAGGTACGTAGTTAGCGTGGGAAAAGATAATCGGATCGCTTCTTATTGCTAACACGCAACACCGCTGTTATTATCACTATCCCAGTTCTGCTGTCGTGAATATATGCATGCATCCTATCAAATCCGTTTCTTGGAAATAGAGAAAACCCCCTTCTGTGGCGTTGAACATGTAAAAACCTTCGTCCGACGATTACAACCTTTGTTTCTGTACATATTAACACTCGGAACGCCAAACGTTTCATAGGAACCACAAGGTCTTACAAGAGGAAGAGGAGGGGGAACATCGTGGCGAACTCCGCCATCTCTAGACGCAGCCTGGGAACTCGACGACAGACGGTCAAGCATGAATGGCGTCCGATCAAGAGAGCGCCTGGCCGTATTTTTATACCGACCGACGTCCCGCGGCTGTTCAGTATTCAATCACCCTAAGCCTCGCACTCGCCTTCTTTCACCTGTGCCCATTTTGTCTGACTCAGATCTAAGTCTCTGCAACCAATGGGTTCCAATTGCAACGTCCTATTGCGTATCTTCATGTAATAACGGATTCACACATGCCGAGACTAGTCCAATCCACTCAAAACCAATTAGTCGTATCCATATGTGTACCGCTCTTTTTTTTTTTTTTTGGAAGCACTATTTCCGTACCATTTACATTAGACGCATATCTCGCTCGCATCTTTCATGTATCGTCACTAGGCGCTGCATCGAGCTCTCGTACGTACTATCCGGTTCATAGACAGCACGCGTCGCAGAAATCCAAATATTTAATCTTACTCTGTTCCTAGAGGCCTGCTGCTTGCACGCAGAACGGTAAGCTCAGCTTGAAAGAAGAAGAAGAAGAAGAAGAAGAAGAAGAAGAAAATGCTGGCGAGAAAGGCGAGATTCTGATATTGCTACTAGCTGTCGATTTAAGTTCTGACTAGCAAGACTCCAGTCTCCGGTCACTGAATAAGCAATAGATAAATAGATAACCGTTGGTGGGTCAGACGCTAGCAACACGGAGGTACAACCTGGCACCTTCTCTTTCACCTTCTCATATCCCTGTGTTACTCTGGACTCACCCTTTGCTTGGTTTGGATTCTACCGATTTCTGGATTAGAGTTGGATGGCTGTTCCAGTCTACAGTTTGCCGCTCGCCATCATCGTTCGTATTATGCACGATTCGCCGCCGTACGTGGGTACGTACGTACGTAGATGATCGCCCTCCCCATCATCAGCGAGCTGCAGATTTTCTGCTCGTTTCGCTCGCTTTGTCTTGTCGTCTTGTCGTCTGGCAGACATAGATAAGTAAGAGAGGGACTCGGGTCCGCTGGCTGTAGGTCGCACCAGATTAAAGAAAGCAAGTACCTCAGAAGCAGCTTACCTCTATTTATTCGACGTGCCCAACCTCTGTATCCCCATTTTACAGGATATGTTGAACCTCCCCAAGCCAATTCACCTTCGCCAGGCTCAAACCCGAACTTCCCATCTAGACGAGGCGGCCCTCCTTCAGTACCCAACCGGAGATATAAAGCCTAGACATCCCGCCCCATCCATCGCGATCTAGCATTTCCTAAAAGTGCAAGCTTCGAATGCGGCGCTACAAGACTCGTTGCGTGGCGTTGCGTTGCGTTTCGATACATAGATAGACAGACAGATATATTCTATTTTATTTCATCTTATCCGGTGGTGGTGTAGCCCTCTCCAATCCAGAAGGGAGTGTGAAGAAAGGACATATGCGATGACTTCTAGTTAGTACCCAGCGATGATATCCCGTGCTATCACTCGAGTTCCCGCTGTCAAGCTCCAACTGAAACCCCAAGCCGCCGCCGCTCTTACTACAGAGAGGCAAGGAACACGCGGTGTACATGTGCAGCTGCTAGAGCAGAGTAACCGTCCCAAGGAAAATTTTCGCTGGTCTGACTCTCTCGTATTCCGAGTCCGTTTCCGTCATCGGCGATTCTTCGTGCAGATGACGGATCTCGCAATTACTAAGGTCGGTCTTTTATCTTGAGATCTCATCGGCTCTTACTGCAAACACTGCGATATGAGGATGGTGATGGTGATGTGGTGATGATAGTTTGTTGGCCCCGCACCCGAAACGGCAGGTGCACCACACCACACCACAGCACGTGTGGCACTTTCCCATCTGAGCGACCGGGCTTGGCCCGGCCTCGGCAAATACCAGACGGGAATTATCGGATAGTAATATCCCCCCCCAAAAATGCAATAAAATTGGAAAAGATGAAAGAGAAAAAAAAAAAAAGGATTCACACTCTCACAGCCCCGGATCAGGATCAGGATGAACTCACTCGTCGAAATTGACTCGGCAATTGACTCGGCTCCGCGTCTAATACCTGGAGCCCCCTTCTTTAACGACTCGCCACCCCCTCTATCCCGCACCCCGTGGCCACCGCATTGTATTGTTGCGCTTCTGATGCTACTGCGCAATAACCAGCCCGTTCTTTTTCTTGTCATCAATCGTCGTCTCGTCGTTTCATCGTTAAGTATACATTTTTTTGGGGGGGTATCATTGGTGGGCATGATGTGTGTTGGTGGCGGCTCGAACTCTCTTATCGGCGGGACGGTTGCAGAGCAAGCAAGCCGAAATGGAATCTTGTCAAGAGAGGCAAGCGACACGAGAAGAGGCAGAAACATTTCTTTGGGAAAGGGGAGGAGAGATGATTGTCATGTGTTGAGCAGTGGGTTCGCTCTCGTGGCCCCCCCCCTCCCCTCTTCCTGAGAAGTGTTTGCTGTCTGACGTGCACTCTCGTGTCCACGGTGTGTGAGTTGGGAAGTTTTGTTTAGGGACTGCTAACCAGTCTGGTGGTGCACGTCGGTTAGCCATTGATTGACGATACCGATGGGGGGGGATGAGAGCTCGCTACGCGGGCTGTGGTTCTGAGAGTGTGTTTGATGCAGAGAATGTGCGTAATTGGGTACTTGAGGGAGGGAAATCTGTGATTCTGTGCCGGCAGATGGGAAGGTGCGAGATGGGCGTGCTTGCTGTGTGTCGGAGGAGAGAGATTGGAGCGGATGCGTTGTGATGATTCTCTACACATTACAAGTATGCCAGACGAGTTTTGAGATGCCTGGATTTCTCCTATGGAGGGGCTCTTTGCTTTTGAGATGGGCTTTGACCATGTCATTTCCTCCCTCGCGCTAGGAACTTCTACCTTTGTCTCTGCAGATTTTGATTTTGTATGGTTCTCCGAGTAGCCATATGATTCAGGATACTATCAAAATATGAACATGGGAAGACGAAGGCGCGAGCAGAAAGACTTGGCGCTCAAGTCAACAGAGCTATCAACACGTTCAGAGCTCGGCGCCAATACAGCAAGAATTTGCGATCCACGCTGACTGCAAGTTATCCGGCCCAGAACTCCAGATCGTGCAAATGCGTTCGAGTATCAAGGCTGGAGGAGATCGTTTGCACTGGTCTCGATAGGTATATCGTGTCTGGCCATGGTGATCGGCCGGCCACCTCTGGCATCCTGAACATCAGTCACTGGCGCAGCATATGATCTCTCGCTCTTGAAAGCCATTCCCCGGAAGGAAATTGTACGGAGACTACTTGCTAACAAGTCGTATCGCATTACGACTCGATCGGCGCTTCCATCATTCTAAGGGTACTTTGAGTGCCTTGCTCCTTTATTCGCAAGTGAGGACTTGGCCATGGTCAAGTCAAGTACTCATACCGAAAGTGACAATACACGATAATTTTATACTGTCTGACTCAAATCCTCCGTCCTCACTAGACAACTATCAACTTCTTTTCAGCCCCCTCCCCCTCCCCTATTTGAGAACCATCAGAATGCTCAGATCTAGAGATGCCACCACCATTCTCTCCTCCCTCAACCTCAATCTTCCATAAGCCCGATCTTCCCATGCCATTCCCAACCAGAAAAAAAAAAGAGAAAAAAGAAAGGAAACCCCCACACTCCTCTTACGCAAGCACGCTTCGAATAATTAACAAACTCACATCCAAGATTGCATATACCTCGGTCGACTCGCTCATTTTTTTTTTTGCAAGCATCGGAAGCTGCACTCCTGCTGTAAAATCAAAATAAACCTTGCCTCGACCCCGCTCTCATATCTTGCTTGCCGTGGCGTCTCCTCACAGGCCAACGATTTATTATTGTCCTTTGAGACCCCAAAACAGACAGACAGATTATTTATGGGAATTTATACTAGGCCAAAAATTGTCAATAAAATTATTTAACAGAGGAAGCTCCTCAGAGATTTTTTCCCCGCCACCAAAAGCGGCAAGTGGGGGTGGGGACCCACCACAGCTCCTTCCGAGAGGTCCCTCAGCCGAAAAGCAGATCATCCATCCATTGATCTCGTCCATTCTCACCACTTTGCCTCAACCCAATCCGTACCCCCCATTGATCTTCGAAATAAGTCCAGACCAAACAAATAAAATAAAATAAAATCAAAACGAAATCAGATCAAAACAAAAACAACCTATCCCAACATCTTTTCTGCTTTCAAAGATGCCTTTCAAAACCATAAACTCCAAGTCCCTCTTCTACACCGACACCCACACCCAGTGCACCCCCGCCACCCGCATCACCACCCTCCTCCTCCACGGCCTCGGCTCCTCCTCCAGCTTCTACAGCACCATCACGCCAGCCCTCGCGCCGCAGACGCGGTGCATCGCGCTCGACACGCCCGGGTCGGGCCTCTCCCAACTCGGCCCATCACCGTCCCGGGAGCAATCGATCGCCAGCATCGCCGACGACGCCATCGCCCTGCTCGACGCCCTAGCGGTGGAGGTCGACGTGGTGGTGGTGGGCCACTCCATGGGCGGCATCGTCGCGAGCACGGTCGCGGCACGGTGCCCGGGCCGGGTCAGGGGCGTGGTGCTGTTGGGGCCGGTGCAGCCGGCTGAGGGGATGGCGGCGGTGTTTGGGAAGCGGGTCGAGGTTGTGAAGGCTGGTATGGTATATCTTGTTCTTGTCTATCTTTGTTCTTTTTCTGTCTTTTTCTTCTTCTGTCTTTTTTTTTTTCTTTTTTCTTTCTTAAAAAAAAAGTACATATTTGAAAGTTGTAAAGAGCCCCCCCCCTCCCCTCCCAAGTAGAATAGAAATAAAGAAAAGGGGGGGGGGGGGGGGAGGATAGAAGAAATATAAAAACGATATTGACATTCGAATACAAACAGGAGGTCTCGAGCCCCTGGCTGACACCATCCCGACGGGCGCCACCGGTCGCCGCTCCACGCCGCTGCAACACGCGTTCATCCGCGCTCTGATCCTCGGCACCTCGCCCGCGGGCTACATCTCGCTCTGCAACGCGATTGCCACGGCTACGCAGCCGGAGTATGCGAGCATCGACGTTCCGCTGCTGATTCTAGCCGGGGAAGACGACAAGACGGCCTCGCTGGAGGGGTCGGAGGGGATCGCGGCGGCGTATGGGACAGAGGGCGGGAAGAAGAGCGTGGTCGTGCTGGAGGGCGTTGGGCATTGGCACTGTGTTGAGGCTGGAGAGGAGGTGGGGAGCAGGATTGGGGACTTTGTGCGAGGGCTGTGAGGGGAGATGGAGGGCAAGAGGGGGAGGAGAGAGAGAGAGAGAGAAACTTTCAGGGGCTCGGGAGGCAAATGGGAAGTTACAGGAGCTTGGTTCGGGATGATAGACGTTTGCGAAGCATGACTGTGACTGCCCCGTGACTTTTATGGTGGCTCCTCTCAGATGGGTATCAATAAAGGGTAGCTCGTCAGCAGAGCTCGTTACCACCCAACTGTCCACCAAACCAAACCTGCTGCTCGAATCGACGTCGATTGATCAAGGCGCTTCGCTGTTCCCAGATGCACCAGGCCGAGACATTTGGGATCATGCCAGGCGGAGATCTGCCCTACCAAGAGGACTGTCAAAAGCGTCTTGTCTACATCCTCTGCCGGATCCTCTCCTCCCCTTGGGGAACTCGATAAAGAAAGGCACCTGTAGGTCTCCCCGCTGCATTCGTAAACAAACAGGCGACATTCGAGAGAAGTAATTCGCCATGCATGCTGCCGCTGCCGCCGTAATCTGTATAGCAAAGTACGTATACAGGAGTAGAGCCATCCCAGAGCTTCCCCTCCCACAGTTCGACAGCTCGAGCGAAAATGGATTGCGCGTGCCGTCGAAGAAGGAGAGTATTCAGCATGCGTAGCTGGAATAGTACTCAACGAGCATCGTTGGGAGATGCAGGAGACATTTCGGGGCTGGATAGCGATGGGGTTTGGTAAAGTGTAGCTGAAGAGCTATCTGCCGCGGGGATTGAGTCTTGTCGAGGAGGGGGGGTTCTGGATCGGGGGTGACTGCGGCGAGCTGCAGGTATTAAATAAAACCCGATTGGCTTCGTCGCTAGTCGGAGCCAAAAGCACCAGAGAAGTCCAAGGCTTGATTATTTGATTAGACTTGGGAAGCTTCAATATACATATATATATTAAAGATGACCTCACACCATACATACTCATGTAGATATGGTGAAGTGGTAGTAGTCAGAAGGAGGTTGTCTCGCTTAAATTTCCAACGGCTTTCTTCCGGCTGCATTGCTGGTAACCTGGCTTCTTTGAGTTACAAGTCACGCTTCAACACCTGGCAGGTCAGTACCGAGTAGTAGTAGTAGTAGTAGTAGTAGTAGTAGTAGTAGTAGTAGTAGTAGTAATAGTTATTAACGTCTAGTGGTCTATTAGCATAGCAAGCGCGCACCACCCTAGGACCTCCCAAAGGATACAGAAACGTAAAAACCGGAGTGATTTATACGAAATCCATCAAATCCATCTTTCCAAGCGCCAAACCTCCATAATCTCGTCTTAAATCAACCTAATACCATCCTCCAGTAACTCCCGAACGCACTTCAAAAAAAAAAAAGTTATCGGAACGAGCGTTCGACAACGATTTGAGTACTTCTTTTCCCTTACAGGCGGGATGGATAGCACAAGCAACAAAGATGCGTACCCGATCAGAGTCCAAAACTCCCCGGTGTTTCCTTCTATCGACTCCAGGAAAGCCCGCAAGTCAGTACCGAGCCGCGGCGGAAACAAACATCTGCCCAAAGAGAGCGAACACATCCTCTTCGGCTTGCAGCGAAAGCGGCCATTCCGGCTCTCTGGAGCCCTTCGTGGTTCTGGGACGATGGCTGGGCGAGGAATTGTGCTCTTCTCTTTTTGATGATGTCGCATTTGCAATCAACGTTCTGCATATCACGTCACATCACATCACATCACATCTATCCCGTGGTTCCGGACGCCTTCTCTTCCTCAAACATCCTCAAGAGAGGAGGGGATCAGTGTCGGGGCACAGGCAAAGTGGTGAGAAGAACCAACAATCCTCAAGTAGTGTGTTACCACGTACCTCCGTGAAGGCTGAAGGAGGGAAACCACTTCTAGGTGGGGAGGAGGGCTATATGCCTAGTGTAGCCAGGTGACCGAGAAGCCTGCGGCCGACATTCCCAGTTCGTGAGATGCTAGGTATCGGTGGTGTCAGTAAGTTTATTGGGCGGAGAGACGTACCGATCTCACTTGAGATGATGGGCAAATGGTGTAAATCTTGGCGGAATGAGCCCTTCCCGGACTCGGAAGCTAAGCGCCAAGGCTCTTCAAAATACTAATAAAATAAGCGAGGAACGCGAAAATCGGACTTTTATCAAAATCTATTAAAAATATATTTCCTTTACCACCAGGCTTTATTTGATAATTATTTCCTCTTGGAATTCAATAGATTCAGCTGTTTCATATCGATATAGAGGTGGATTTTTTCCAACTGGAGTTGTGGTTGTTGAGATATCTCAAGGCGGACAGGTGAAATTTGATCATTTGGGACTGTTTTTGACCATAATTTCGCTACATCGCCATGTTTCGACTTGCAATGAATAAATGCATCTTTATATCTATGATACAAATTTACGTATCAGTTTTTTCTCAACATATAGGTTTTTTTTTTAAAAAAAAATGCTTTTGTTAGTAGTTGTGATCTAATAAGTGGTTTGCTAAAAGTGACCCGCCTCGGTGGTTCCGACTTGCTACAGCAAGTCGGCCATTTCTTTCAAATTGAATTTAAGGTAACCAACGGTTACTCCGCTTGCCAGGGCTGAGTCTGCTGGTTTCGCATATTCATAAATAGATTCTGCATCCCAGTGACAATGACCACCAGCGTGCACACCTGCTAAAGACGTAGAAACACGCATCTATTCATCCGGATTTAATTGGCTGCTACAGATCAGCTGCATATTCAAATCAAGGCAGCCGAGACGAGGACGGCCGGAGTTCTTCATGATCGACGAATCTCGGTGAAGCCTGGCTCAAGGCGGATATTCATTTCCGCTTCATTTCTTATTGAAGGACATTACTTTATTACTTTACTATTTCTTTAATTTTGAATTTGCGCTCCTCTGCGTATTATTTTGGCTCTCCCGTCGTCATCCATTTGGTTGCTTTCCTCGGGTTATTCTTATGACAAACCTGTCCCTTCTTTTCTCTCAAATCCGATTACAGGAACTGAAGACTCGAGCTTATAGTCCGTCTGCGGAACGACTTTCCGTATGGGATGAAGATGCACATCCCGATGACCGTGATCCCAACCCCAAGAGCCATGCTCATCATGAGGGGTGGGATGAAGCCGGCGGAAGCAGCCCAGTCGTTGTAGAAGAAGATCATGCCGAACTGTATATAATTAACATGTTCGCAAAGTTACACGATCGAAAGAGAGACTTGCGCCAAATGTGTTCTTGATGACAGTTGCAGAAACCGTGATCTGGCCCGAGAGTTTCTTGTAGCAGTCGAGGGCATACGAGATCACAATAGCTGGAAAGGAATGGAGACAACTTCAACTCCAAAGAACCCGTATCCGATGATGACGATTGCTTGCCATGGCCAGTGGCGTTGATATCAAACCGCAGCAACCTGATGTCGTCAGTCAAGTTCCCCCCACCATCAGGAAATTCATTTGGAGTACTCACAACCATCCCTATCAAGCAAATACACACGTACGGTACCAAGGCCACCAGTCTCATATCCGTTTCTCGAATCCCATTGTTCCTAGCTGTGGCCCTCATACCGGTACTCACCCAGTCGCTTAGGGGGCCAGCCGTCAACAACCCAATAACGCCAGCCACCACGAACGCGGAATTCACGAATCCCACTTGCGCAGGGGTGAATAAATGCGGAGGTGCCGCGAAGACTTGCGACTGCGTTAATTTCAGAGGCAAGAGGCAATTGGCTGTGCACGCGAAGGCGAATGTCGCCCAGAGGATGATGGGGAAGGAGTAGATCTGGAGGGGAGGCAGAAAATCCTGAAGTATCAGTGATTTGCCCTGGAAGTGAGGCGTGGGGATGAGTGAGAACTGAGCTTTGCTCCGACGACCCTTAGGGCGCGCGGGGGGGTCAATGGAACTGCTTCCGGATCCCAGAAGTAATTGCTGGGAGGTAATGATCTGAGAGGATTTGGTTTTCAGCGCTGGACTCGAGGAGTCTGAACTGGGAGCGCCGAACTGGGTTGCTTTGTTTTCTGATGTGGACTCGCCGGCGCCGCGAGCTCATAAACATGAGATCTGAAATGTTTCGGCTCGCACCTGGAATCGAGTTTCGCAGCTGGAGCAAAGTCAAGTTAAGCTTTGACTGATATCTGGCAGCTGGCAGCCAGGCTTGACCAGGCCCAGGAAAGATCAGAAGGCGCCCGGGATCGAGGGGCAACCTAGGAATTGGAACCTTGGGGATTTTTCTTTTTTTGCAAAGTGTCTGAATTATTTTTTGCATCAAAATTTGCTCTGTAACTCTTCTAAAAGCGCCGAGTTGAGCTCGCAAGTCCCCGGTGGTCGTCGAATGCACGGTGCTATCGGCGATGTGGTGCCTCGGTGCACATTTGGAAATCGGTAGGAAGACCGCGGTAAGAAGCCCGAGAATCAAAAATGGGAAAGCCCAGGTCTGCAAGATTCGTGACGCAGAAAAAAACCACTCCCGAATTGCCACAGCCTGAGGGTGTAACAATCACGCCAGTGCCGTGTATATACAGCTCTCGTTTCTCGCCTAGGAAGGAAGACATGTTCGACATCATTATCCTCATTTCCGTGTCTTCTTCGCTCCATACCCGTCTCCGGAAAGAGAAATCTTGCTTTGCAACTATCAAACTTCAAAATGCAACTCGACTTGACAGAGTTCCTCTCCATGACCCTAGTTTTGGCGTCAACGACCTTCGCAGTCCCTGACACTGATTCGATCTCGATCTCGAGTCTTGCAGCGCGCAATGTCTCCGGCGCTCTCTCGATTAATATCGCAGAAAAACCTATTGCTACCTCAATATACACAGTGCAGCGGGTAGAAACCGATTAATATCAGTAAGTGTAATTTCATTGTCTGGAGAGGCCTACTACAGGATCCTCGTTGCCTTGAACCTGAGTAAGGCGGGGTCGTTTGATGAGTAGTGGCAAAGGATTTGATTGAGTTAAGGGAGCCAAACTACAATATCCCTCAGCTA